ACAATGACAACAGCGTATGATTTGCAATTTGAAATTCGAAAAGTCTCGCACTCTTCAGTTGTCTGAAATAATGTTTCATTTGCTGAATTGTACACTTTTAATTGGCTTAAATCATTCTCAAATTGTTTGTCTTGCATCTGAGCGAGTATCTTTAATAATCGCCCCAAGGCCAACGACGCCCACGTCTGCGCGCGTGTTGGCCGCATTTTGTTGTCTTATTTGCCACCGACAACACACACACACACGTACACACACACACTCACGCACGAACACACACATATATTATGCATGCATATTTTACATAGCACAGTTTTTAATGCATTCTCTGGCCGCACTCTCGACCCCCCCTTCTTCCCGTTGCAGGTTACAAACGCGTCGCCTGGCCACCAGCCTCTGAGGAGCGCATCGTGCGTGAGTTTACACCACAGCCGCCGTCACAGAGCCCGGCGCCCGGCAGCGGCGGATACTATCCACAGTCTGGCGGTCAGCCAGTGCCCAGTGCTGCTCCAGCTCAGGTAATTGTGCCAGCCAAGCAACCAGCCTTAGTCAGACCCTTGATTGTATATTTATATATATATATATACGCAAATACTTAATTAGTTTATCGACTTGACTTTTGTACATACTGTGTTAATTGTAAATATAATTGTTACTCAATCTGCAACTGTCATTGGGTATCTGGTGAGGCACATTTGTAAATACAATGCATACTCCCTCAACACACAAATGCACACACAAACACACACACAACATTCACCCATCCACCCACTAACAAGGAATACTCACTGCCAACTTGCAGGGTCCCATTTATAACAACGTTCAGCCCCGAACCCAGCCTCAACAGCACCAACAACCACAGCAACCACAGCAACCACAGCAACCACAGCAACCACAACAATCACAACAGCCACAACAATACCAGCAACCCGCCCAAAATGTATATGGCCCAACCACTAACTATGCGTCAAACGGTTACGCACCAGCAACAGTTACTGCAGCACCTGCAGCCCAAGCCCCAGCTAATAACTATAACTATCCACAACAACCCGTCCAATACACACAGGCTCAGTTCGATAGACAACCCTCGAGGGAGCCTGTGCAGGCGCCTGCCGCGTCCTACCCACAGCAGCAACAGCAACAGTTGCCGCCGCAGCAGCAGCAGCAGCAATACCAGCCGACTTACCAACAGCAACAGCAGCCGCCCATTCACGCCGTAGACAATGCGGGTGCCGGTTGGAAGCATATTGGCGCACCGGCGCCCAAGACACACAACGACTTCACGGCTGGAGGCGTTCCACCTGCAGCTGCCTATGCGCCCTATCAGCAACAGCAGCACCAACTGCAACAGCAACAATATCAACAACAACATTATGTACAGCAGGTAGCGTTTGGCTAAATGGATTTATAGCCTGGCTTTGGCATTGGCCCCTGTTGCAAGAAACTTTTGCTGCTGCTGTCTATCTACACAAAGTTGAGAATCCCTTTCTAGGCACTAACCCGACTTATAAGTAGTTTAAAAATGTGTTTATGCCTGCCGCAGATACACGAACTGACGACTTTAATAATGTTTATATTATTTTTTACACGAAGAGAAATGTGTTCATAATATTTTTTTTTTTTATTTCAAACAAATATTTTTGGAGGCTCTCGGGCACCTATTTAAATATTTGATTTTTTATTTACTTTTTGGAATTCTCTTCCTTGATTGTTGACTGTCAGTGCACGTAGAGTGCGGCACGTGTAAACCCCAACCCTAGCGCAAAACTAGGCCATATCCCAGCGCTGTATATAAACCCTTCCACCTATATCCAACTATGCATACATTGTAGCTGTCACATTTAGTTGCCATTAACCAAAGTTCTCACATTCTCTCACTCACGCTTTCTCTCTCTCTCTCTCTCTCTCTCTCTGCTCTGCTTATTCTATGCAAATTACAGCTGTAAACTGCGAACTGCTGCTAATGCTGAATTAATGAAATTACTGACAACAACAAAGAAAAACCCCTTCCACGCCTAGGCACTAACTTAATTTTCCGATTCTGTTCTCTATATACCTGTAACTGTATAATTGTCTTTCTTATCTCTTTACTCCCACATATCTATTCGTATCTGTATGTGTATCTGTTACTGTATCTGTTTATCTGTTGCACTCGCACCCACCAACCACCACCACCACATCCATAACCTGTCTCTATTGGCACCTGAAACTGAAATTCCATGACTCGCATGTCTTGCACCACCAACACAACCACAACGACAACCAACAGCAGCAACCACAGCAACAATATGGTGCGCCGGCCTACGACAACTATCAGCAGCAGCAACCCCTCCAACAGCAGCAGCAGCAGCCGACAGCTCCGCCGCACTGGCAACAGCAGCAACAGCAGCCGCAGCAACAGCAGCAGCCGCTGCCACAGGCACAGCAGCAATATCAGGCTCCATACCAGACGTCGGCTTATCAACAGCCACAACAACAACCTCAAAATTATCCACAGCAAAATGGTGGCACTAACTATGCTCAACCACAATACAATTCTTATTCGCAGCCTCAGCAGCAGCAGCAGCAACAGCCACTGCAACAGCAGCAACAGCTGCCCTACTCGCAGGATCAGACTGATCTGCAGCAGGGCTATCGTGGCGCCAGTCCTGGCATCATAACGCTGCGCAAGGAGGCGCCCGTCTCACAGAAGCCAGCGCCAGTTTACACTTCGCAGCCAGCCGCCGTCAGCTATCAGGGTGAGAGCAGCTACAGCAGCAACAGCTGGCGCGGGTTTACAATTGCCATCTTATTGTATCTAATTGCAGGAGGCAGCAAATTGCGCGGAGATTTGAAATGGCCACCACCGGAGTACAAGGAGGCTGCTGTACGCGAAAACGAGGAACGTCGCCTGTTGGCGTTGGGCCCCGTTTGCCGTCCCCGAAGAGTCAATCGTGTACGTAGGGCGCCTTAAAGATAATTTCATGTCATTCATGAATTTAATTTCCTAAAAAAACGGTCGCTGGTTCGAAGCAAAGCGTCTGCAGCCCTGTCTGTTACATTTCCTAAACTTAAGACTCTTTTTAATCTCCGGTTATATTGACAGGACTACACTTCCTTCTTTGCCAAGCACCAACTGAACAACGGCTATCCCAGCTACAAGGTGCCACCAGGCACTCAGCACATGTTTGGAATTTAAGCAACAGCTCAAATTGTGGCTAGATAAAGAAGGAGCATCAACAGCTCAAAAAGCAATGGAAAAATTGATCAATGGAACCCACTTCATATAACAATAACAATAATAATAATAAAAAACGACCATGTATATGTTACTAAAACGACGACTAACGAATCAAACTATATACTATAAAAACTATATATGTATATTGTTATACTAATTTTAAAACGTTACTAACAGAGCAACTTTATATACGTATCTATCTATTTATCATTATTTATATAATTATGCCAAACGAAACGATTATCAGGGTACGACGTACGCCCCTTACTTCTATAAACACTTCAGAGCTCATATGTCATATTTCGTATGATATATGGACGCTGTATGTGAAACAGAATAGGATTTTATTATTTTGTATGCTGCATAGCATATTGGAGCATATGCATAACATAGATACAAATGCTTATGAAGTATGCCTTTATGTTTGCCAATTATGTTTAAGTTGAGAATTAATATGATACTAGCAAGAACGAGACCTAGCAAATGAAATGGATATGATATGGAAAATGAAACCTTGTTATGCTTATATATTTAAAAAAACCAAAATCAAAACAAAAAAAAAACGAACTAACATATCTAGCAATCTACTATATATACTTATCGCAATGTTTTACTTTATAGACCGTGCGGGCAGCCACGCCTAGAAACACGCCCATTGCGCCCATGCTTAAGAGAATATATTTGGGTTAGTTTACTGTAAATTGAATCGATAGAACCCACATATATGGTCTTGAGTCTGGGCCTGCTTAGGGTCGGATTTCTAGGCGCTGCCTCGCACTGCGTCGCAATTGTTAAAATAGTTTGAGTTTGCATGATTTTTTTGTCTATATTTTGTTCTATATCTACACAGATATATATGTTTATTTACGATTATATTGTTAACGAGCATATTATAAAAAAAATGTCAATGGTCCGTTGAGTAAGTTATGTGCCAAACAGTTAATATGGCAATTCAGTGAGTTTATCAAATGTCAAAATCACAAATCAAATATGTAATTGTCTCTGGGCGACACGGACAGGGCCGCATAGCAGCTTGCTCCTTGCCGGCAGGCAATAATATGAGGATGCCTTTGCCTGCTGCACGAGCGGGGAGATCTGAGTTTTGTGCGCGCCCTGAGGTGCCGCCTGGATGAAACCCAACACTCTGACTTACCCAAAACAAACAAAAAAAAAACCAAAATATGACCAACAAATGTCAAAAGAATGAAATGAATTGACGTTACGTATACAATTTGTTGTATAACAATGAGAACTATAAACACTAAAATCAAATAAATGGCTAGTTTTTGAATACTCGCGACGAGAGAAGTGCGGCATATGTGTTTTTTTCTTATTCTCTTAATGGATGATAGGTGTTCCTTGTGGTTTATACAAAGGTTTTCACATTGCTCTTTATTGAAACTTTTGTATTGCATTGCTAAAAACTATTATATTCACAATGATAATCGTAATTGTTATTATAATAATAGTTATATCGTTATAGTACATATTGGTTTTAATAAATAACTAAAAGTAAGGCCAAATCAATTTCATACTCAATTTCAAATACAGCGTGTTTTCAATGCGCTTTACCTTTCTGGAATTTCTCTCGTTAGGCTTACTTCTTGATTAAATTTACTTTTTGTTGTGGCACTTTTGTGTGTGTTCGTGTGTGTTTAGAAATTAAATTTCCACTTATTGAAAATTAAATGCAAATGAATGCGTTTTGTTTGGAGGTTGGGCTAAGAGTTCAGTTTCGTTATTCAATTGGAGAAGATCAGATCAAAAAAGCATTAACTACACATAACGCTACAAATTTTTATATTTCATCGTATATTAGTTTATAATGTGCACTTGGTTGTAAAATCTCTCGCAGCTACAATTTCAATCGATTTGTATCATATTTCATTGATGGAAAGCACATTTTGCGCTGGCTGCTATTTGAAATATACGAACTTTTACCTGTTTTACGCCAGGTAAATGTATATATAAATTTAATTCATCACGACAGCACTTAGTAGCAATAAATTAAGTTTCGGATGAGCCGCCTACGCGGACAACATTAACATCAACAAACAACGTCAGTTAGAACCCTGTAAATATTGTGTTGCATATTGCTTTTAATTGTGAGTTGGCTCCAGGTCCATGATGCTGCTGTTGCTGGTCGCACTGGTGGTCGCGGATGTTGTTGTTTTCGGACTTGACTTTTGTTTCGAGCCGCTGGCATAAGTGCTGGAACTGGTGGCAACGCCTTGTGCTGACCCCGAAGCAGCACCTGCGTCATTACCATCATCATCATCGTCGTCCTCTTCCTGTATTAGCTTGCGGGCCAATTTGACCGCCTCAAATTCACGATAGTGGGCCTTGCGACGCCGCTCGAATTCACGGCGTCTTTCTGCAAAATGAGACACAATTAAAATCTAAAATTCAGATGATGTAGGACGATTGTGAGCTTACGTCGCTCCTCTTCGCTAATAGGCTGATCATCGCCGGAAGAACCTTCATCATCAATGCTTTGGGAAGACTGTTGTGTGCTGGCCGCAATTCGTAATCTATGGTGGAAATAAAAAGCATGAGCTTAGCATGCCTGGGCTAGCGCTAGGTCAAAAGTGATTTATACTTCTCAACCAGCAGTTCGGTGTCCAGCTCGTCTCTGTTCTCATTAAATGGCTCCGTGTAGTTAAAAGGTGTTTTTGGTTCATCGATTTTCATATGCCCGTAATCCTTATCGGCCGGATGAAATGTTTGCATCACGTTCAGCTCATCAAACTTGGCACTTTTGCGAAAACTGCGAAAACGAATCTAGTGGTTAGCCTTTGTTTAATCTAAAGGTTAAAGTTGATTGCGCTTACCTGGCACCCGACTTGTCAAAACTGCGCGAAGTCTTTAAAATGCCCTTGCATGGCAACTGTGGACTGGGATTGTTTTGCATCTTGACTCTTCACTCGGATCGGAAACACGTTAACTGAAAATAAACACACACACATACCAAAATACAAAAAGAAGAAGAGTTTAGCTTAATTTGAGTATGCACATTACGTCAATAAGATGATTTACTATGATGAATCACAGTAACAAAACAACGCATTTAAGCCTTTAAATTCGCTAAATTGTGGAATGACAATCACACAACTCGCGGCACTTACGACACCTTGCAGCGGCTTTAGTGCCCTTGAAGGGGGTCGCATGACCCAACCGCACACAGGGCGAATGCCACCCACCGGGCTGCTGCTGCATGTGGCATTTGCAACACCCTTTGGGTTGGCCTTTATTTAACTGCGCCCGCCATCATTTGGCCCTTTCTCTCGCTTTCTATTTGAGGTTTTTCTTTGCACAACTTACATTGTTTTTGTTTTTTTTTTTAACCAAGCCGCAGCGCCGTATGGAATTGCAATGCAATTTACGTATCGAAATTGCAGATTTGAAAACGTATTTAAGTCACAAGTAGTATCGCGAAGACCGTTGTGTTTAACTTAATTTAGATATGTTAACTGTATTTAAAAACGCGCGCTAGTAGTTTGACCAAATTAGCGCTTTTTAATTTTGATATTTTATTTATTCTATTTGTATTAATAGTGCGTCTGCTGAAAGGCGCTGTTAACTTACTGTGGGGTACTGTTAACTTACAGTGTTGTTGCTACCCGCTAGAGATGAGCGATATTTATGTACGTGTGAGCTGTGCCATGTACTTGATTGTAACGAGTCACATGTCTGAAACATATACCATTATTGCATTGCATATTTATTGTTTAATAGATTTAAATTTGCAAAAATGTATCTTTAAGCACGTTGAGTGCTAGTTTAAGTCAGAAGCAGTTTGTATAAATATTTCTTTGTAACATTTATTTATTCCAAGCAACACGTCCACCTCTAACAGAAATAGACGCATTTTATTGCTCCTGTTAATCAACATTCAAAAAGCTAAGCATTGTTAACCCATATGTTGTTACAAATGGACAATACGTAAATCTAGCTGTATACTTTTTTTTTTAACTGTATCTAGAAAAAAAGACCCTCTTAACTGTTTTAGAAAAATTCCACAAGATTAATTGCTCTTTATACTTAAAAAATGGAAATTTGGAAATAGCTACAACAGCTACGCACCCACATATAATATAGACGCATAAATTTCTCAACAACAAATCGATCCTAAGCGAGAACTAATCGCTTGACAGATTATCTCAATTGCTTGAGAATGTTTCTTATCGCATTGAAACAATAGAGTTTACCCGCTTAAATTGCATTATGGAGAATTGATAGTCCATCGATTTGCCAGTATGCATACAATCACCATGAACAACAGCCAATTATCCGCCGGAATACGTCCGTTACCTCCAGGTCTTCAGCAGATTGCCATCGAGGAGCTGAACGAGGTGCCGGCTCGTGTTGCATCAGATATTGCGGCCCTGCGAGAGTGGCTGCAGAAGCAGCCGCATCTCTGCGCCTGCCTCACGGATCAGTTTCTGCTGGGCTTCCTGCGGGGCAGCAAGTTCAGTTTGGAGAAGGCCAAGCACAAGATTGATCGCTACTACACGCTGCAGGCGGCTATTCCCGAAGTATTCAATGAGCATCGATTGGCCGATGATGTCCAGGTGCTGGAGATCATTCGAATGGGGTATCATCAATAGAGAAGCCTCCATATCTTTCCCAAATAAAGTATTCTCTTTTAAGCGTCATTCTACGTATTCCTTTGGACGCGAGCGATACGGGTCCGGCGGTGACCATTATACGCACAGGTTCCTATGACACGCAGAAGGTTAAGTTCCAGGACATTATTCGAGTGGGCTCCATGTTTGGCGAAATCATGATGCTGGAGGACGACAATGCGAATGTCAGTGGCTACATTGAAATACTGGACATGACCGGAGTAACGGCCGCCAATTTGTTTGCCCTGCAGCCGCAGCTGTTAAGCAAGTTTTCGGCCTTTGCGGATGAGGCGATGCCCACACGGCAGGAGGGAATACATTTTATAAATGTGCCTGCCTCATTCGAAAGTGGCTTTAAATCGCTGCGCTCCTTCTTTCCCGATAAGATCAAGAATCGCGTGAGTCACCTCTGTTGGAGAATAGCTAGCGATCAGCAGCGTTTCATAGCTCTCTTTCTATGTAGGTATCTGTCAGCTCCGATCCGGAGGCCATCTTTGAGCGTGTGCGTCGCGAGTATCTGCCCAAGGAATACGGCGGCAGCAGGGGCACCATGCAGGACATCATAGAGCAAATGGAGGCCAAGATGTGGAGCTATCGCGAATACTTCGAACAGTCGCGTCACTTTGGCACCAACGAAAAGCTGAGGGAAGATATCCCAGACAATACAAGCTGCCAGAGCTACTTTGGCCTGGATGGCTCATTCCGCATGTTGGATATCGACTGACTTTGTAAAACTATAAACAGCCAATAAATTGATTGAATTTGTGCTCCACTCTCGCTCTCTTCTTAGAATAAGTTGCGCTGTCTGGCCTTTGTCTACTATCTTATCTTGGATTGATTATGGTGGCTGCCCATGAATCGAACCCGAACAAAGACCTTCAGTTGTGCACTGGCTGCCCGACCTGGCCAACATGCCGTCCATTCGTCCGCTTAGTCCGGCGCTGCAGCAAAATGCTATCGAGCAGCTGAACGAGATTCCGGAACGCCTGGATGCGGACATAGCCGCACTGCGTCAGTGGATCGCCCAGCAGCCACATTTGAAAGCGCGCACCGATGACCAGTTTCTGGTCAACTTCTTGCGCGGCTGCAAGCACAGCCTGGAGAAAACCAAGTCCAAAATGGATCGGTTTTACACGCTGCGCACCAAGTATCCCGAATATTTCATTGGACACAATGTGGATGTGGACAAGCTGCTTGCCCTCTTCCGATTCGGGTGAGTCGCATTTGAAGTCAGTTTTGAACTTTGAATCAGGTTCAGTTGTAGCACTGCTATAGTGCTGCCACGCCCACTGCATGATAATGGACCACGGCTAGTTGTATTGCGCATGGGCGCCTACAATCCCGATGAGTACAATTTCATTGAAATCAATCGGGCCAGCAGTCTAATGCATCAAATAATGCTCGATGAAGACGATGATGCCATAGTTAATGGGGTCATAAATATTCTGGACCTGAGCGACGTAAAGGCCGGGCATTTCTTTCAGATGACACCGTCCTTTGCCAAGAAGATGACCGTTTTTCAGGAGGAGGCACTGCCCATGCGCACAAAAGGCACGCATTTCATCAACACGCCCGCGGGTTTCGATAAGGTCTTCAACATGTTCAAGCCGATGATGTCCAAAAAACAACAGGAGCGCGTAGGTTCCAAATCAGCTTGTAGCTAATCCTTCAGGAACTCAACGTCCTTATCATTTTTCTACAGCTTTACGTGCACGGCAATAATTTTGAGGCCATATACCAGCAAATACCGCAAAAGTATTTGCCCGTGGAGTACGGAGGCGAAAATGGTTCCATACCAGAACTGATCAAGGATTGGGAAGAGCGTATAAGCGCCTACAGGAACTACTGGGTAGAGGAGCAGAACTATGGCACGGATGAGCGCCTCCGACCAGGCAGGCCAATTGACTTTGAGGGTCTATTCGGGCTGGAGGGTTCGTTCCGGCAGCTGAATGTTGATTAGGACCTGGTCAGTGGGGCGTGCTAAATTTTTAGTCTATATATAGCGCATGCCTTATCTATATCTTAAGTTTTGATATTTCATAATTTGAGTTTTACAAACAAGCTTTGATAATGAACATTTGTGGTGTAGACAAAAAAAACAGTGCACTTTTTTACAATATTCTACTTTTAAAAAGATATTTAAAAAGGAATTTTAAAACAGATATTGCATATTTCTGTAAAGTCGGAAGAGAGAAATGCACTATTTGTCGTTGTTCTTGTTGTGCCTGACAAATCAGCTGCTGATCGAGTCTCTTGTTCCGTGTTCTCGGGAGAACAAGTCAAATGCCAACTGAGATGCAAAAAGTAAACAAAAAGTATTCCAAAATGTTCTGAATAGAAGAAAACTACAAGCTACTACAACTAGCCCAAGTAGCAACAAAAATAAACCACTCTCCGAACGCCGATCGCCGATCAGAGAAATGTTCAGTAATCTTTGGAGAGTCGTCGGGATCGGTCCATGTGCTGTTGCCGTTGCCATCCGTATCGGGAAATAAGCACGCAACGTGCACACAGAAATGAATTGAATTTGGAAATATATTTTGAAAAAGAACAAATCCTAATAGTGCGGTACGGCTTGAAAGATTGGCGTATATAAATGTAAATCATGTCATGTAGAGCCAAAAACAGTTCATAAATTGCTCGCAGATAATTGCCCAATAAGAAATCAAATGAAATCAAAGCTACTAATTATTTGGGCATGTTATATAGCATCTTCCCATTATAATATATATATATAGTCCATCTGTCTATTCGGTTATTTGTTGTGCCATTCCGGGTACTATTTAGACTATGAATAGTAAAAATTTCTTGTGGCGAGCAACGACGAGTTGCGGGGTGCGCCGTCTGCTCCGTCCGTCTGTCTGTCTGTCTGTTGACGAGATGGATGTTGTTCCCCAAAATAGTTTCCATAAAGCAAAGCGGCATAGCCCCCCCCTAACCACTTACCCGACCTTGCCAGCCTGGCGAGTCGACTAAATAAATATTTAGACAAATCTTAATGTACATGTGTGAGGATTGGGATTTCCCACTTCCATTTAGCCACCTGCCCACTTCGCTTGTAGTTTGTTGTCCTATATGAACCCAACTATTTTAAAAAATTACTTCTATTAATATTATACATTGCTTTCATTCAATCAATAATAATTTATGTTTCAGTAATATATTTTCAAATATATTCTATATCTAACTTATCTGTTAAAAGTTCAGTTTATGGCAAAATATGTTAAATTTTGGGTTCGAACCGGCTTGGTTCAAACCGGCTTAAAAACTTTAGTTTGCACACCCTCTATCAGTCGTAGAAGGGGTATATAAGGTGACGATCTTAGTAAAATCATACTCAACATTTTACAGGGTATTTAACCGTCGACTATTTCGTTTCGGGTTAAAGAAATTTAGTTTGCCTTTTCATAATTTGTGTGCAGCGAACCACGAAATTGGCCAAGGGAAGACGCATAGCCGAAGAGGTGCACGACCATGTCGGGCAGGCGGGCACAATCCCTGCCGCCGCACATGATGGAGCCGGCAAAGCCGGAACGCGGACGCTGCGTGGCTGCCATCTGTTTCTCGTGGAAGGTGCTCACCTGCGTCGTTTCCCATGTACTGCTCGTGCTGCTTGTGGTCTCGTACTGTGTGGGCGGTGCCTATTTGTTTCAGCATCTCGAACGACCGCATGAGATTGAGGTGAGATCGCACCGGGTGCTTAACAACCAACTTGGCTAACAGTAACCACATGTGTGTGCGTCCAGGTCAAGCGGGACATACAGAATCTACGCTTCAATCTCACCGAGCGCATTTGGCTGCTCTCCGATGATGCGCTGGTGCTGCGCGAGAACGATTGGATGGCGAATGTGAGCAAGCATTTGGCCAACTTTGAGAAGCAGATCATGACGGCCATCAAGGCCGACGGCTGGGACGGCGACGAGGATGTGCGCAAATCCCAATGGACTTTTGCCGGCTCCCTATTCTACTCCATCATCGTCATAACCACAATTGGTGAGTGCTTAAATAGGTCAACAGTTCGAGAGAATTTTATTCGCATTTAACATAATCTAAGCCTAACGACTAAACTCTAAAGAAATCTAACGGGTGCTCAAGCAGCATCAGCTGAAGCAGAGCTACAGCTAAATATTCTTGCTGAGCTTATCATTCACCGTCGCTGGGGAGCTGGCCGAGCTCTTGGCACTCTTGCCCTCGGCCGGCGTCAGCGACTTCTCGTCATAGCCAACGCCCCCAACTCCGAAGTTGCCGCCATAGCCCGTGGGTGCCAGGCCGGGCTGGCCTAGGCCAAAGCCAGCAGCTAGGCCATAGCCATCTGTGTACTGTGGTCCGGCGTACTGATTGCCCGGATACTGTGCCAGGCCAGGATATTGTCCGCCAGGCGCTCCAAACTGGTTGTAATTTGTCTCTGCGCCTGGATAGCTTCCAAATGGATATTGGCTGCCAGCGCCTGGATACTGACCCAAGCCTAGTCCGCCGCCGAGCTGTCCGCCCGGGTAGGCTGTGCCGGCACTTGCACCGCCACCCACGCCTGGATAACCTGCACCGCCACCCACGCCGGGATAGCCTGCACCGGCACCCAGGCCCGGGTAGCTCGCACTCGCAGCCGCACCGCCATAGATGCCTGGATAGCCACCTAGTCCCAGTCCGTTCTGCGCACCACCAAATCCAATGTTGCCAGGCTGATAGGCATTGGGATACAGCGGCGGTCTGTATCCCGTAGGGCCACCCGCACCGACCAGCACGCCTGGATTGCCGCCGCCAAAGCCGCCGCCAATGCCTGGAAACTGGCCACCAATCGCCGGCTGTCCACCAAATCCGCCAAAGGGATTGGGATAGGGGTTGTACTGACGCGTGCCCACATTGGGCGCAGTGGTTGTTGTGGGCTCAACGTCCACATAGTCCTCGATCTCATCATTCTCCGGCTCACCAGGCAGCGGTCGTCTGGTGGTTGGCTCTCGTCTCTGCTGGTTCTGGTGTGCGTTGCGCATGGAGGCCTCGCGATCGTTTTCCTTGAACGCACGCTCCCTGCGGTTGTAGGTGCGCCAAACCCAATGATCCTCGCCCGACACAATGGCCAGCTGACAGACAAGCGCCAGCGACGCGATGAGGCAATGTTTTCTCATGATTTCTGCACTTAACGGAGATTCACTGATTCACACTGGAGACTCTGGCCTTTCTTTCTGCTTGTGGATGGATGGTTCACACACTGACCCGTATTTCGCGCTTTGTCGCGACTCGCTCGTTTATAGCGATGCCAACAGAATAATTCGACAATGCGAGCGGCACACGCTACTTATATAACAATGGGCCAACGACGAGGCACAAAAATCACTCGAGTGTGGCTCGCCGAGGACGGCAGGTGCGGCACATGCCCCACAGTGGAACCAGCAGAAAAGGTCGCATTGCAAGACAAAATTAAATTTGTCACTGTTTCGGCTCAGGGTATGAACCAGCGCCCTTGCTTTAGGCTTAGTTCCTTTTAACAAGGCTCTTAGTTTGATTTCTTATATATTTTAGGGTTTGAGCCAGAGCCCATGCTTTAGGCTTAGTTCCTTTTAACGAGGCTCTTATTTTGATGTCTAATATTTTTTAGGGTTTGAACCAGCGCGCTGTCTTAAGGTTTAGTTCCTTTTAACAAGGCTCTTATTTTAATTTCTTAAATTTTTTAAACATTTAATTTAAAATTGCGCGCCTGTTTTACTGAAAATATTACAAAATTGGCATTTGTCATATATGGTTTAATGCCAATGTACTACTCCTCAAAAGTATTTTCTATTGAACCAAACCATGAGCCGGCTCGATTTAAATCCGGCCTTGGTTGCATTTGTTATTGACCGGCGATCAGCATGTGTTTTGCCCCACTGTGCCGCAGCGTAAACATCTAATGAATCAACGCAAACAAGCCAGACAGACAGATACACAGACAGAGGATCGTGGCAGACGAAGACGCACTCCCAAAAAAGACACGCCAGATTTAACAGCGATCGGCGACCAGTTTTGATCGCCGGGCACGCAGCCCACGTATTCAGCATTGATTCATCCAATCCGAAGAAACTGCGAAACTGCCAAACCGCAAAGAAGCGCATGATCAGTGATCAGTGATCTGTTCTGTGTGCAGTGATCAGATCAATTCATGCAACGCCGCCCAGGAACTGCTGCAATCGACTTGGACATGTGCACATGTCGGCACGTAGAAATCGCATAAATATATTGAACTACCTCACGATCGTTTTGTAATTGATCGTTAGACTCCATGAAGGGTACCGATGCGGATTACAAAACACTTTCCTGGAAATCAAAATGAGTTTACACATTTAACAGCCCACTTTTTGTGTTGATGCATAATTAGTGTTCATTTACTGATCAATTGCAGATATATCTTTACACTCGCTCACATAGACAAAAGGGTATATTGGTTTCGGTCTGTATGAAATCAGAGACACTCGTGTATACCCGCGTCAGATGAAATGTTAAGATTATATGGGTAGGTCCACTGAGAGCGTGGAGTATCGGATGGGTCTATATCTTTTATAGGATAAAATGATGAGCTCCTTTGAAGACCTATTCAAATAATATAAAAATATTAATGTATCTTAATACCCACAGCTGTCATCCTATTTCAAGCTATTCTTGGCCTTATAACAAGTATTTAGCAGTCGGTTATACCCGACTGCAAAAGTCCTAGTTGTTTATGCTGCAGCAATTGCTATAAATTTGGCTTATCATTCAGATCGTGCGGCACATAGGTCAGCATTTGGCTTAGTTTTATTTTGGGTTATATTTTTTTGGATACAGTTTGTTGCACACAAGTTGATTGGCCCACTAAGCGCCCACGTGAATGACCTCTAAAATGTTTTCAGTTTCAGGTTTAATCCAACCAATTGTCCGCAAGGGGGGTGTGGGGGCAGGAAGCATCCAACGAAATCAAAAGTTAGAACGACTTTTTATACATTCAACAGCAAACGCAAGGTCAAACGCGACGCAGATGATTTTTTAGTTTCAGATTTTAGATTGATGATGGGAACTTTTTGTCTAATTTCCCAATATGGATGTAGCATTAAGTGAATTGTCTGGGGTTTAGCTGCTTGCTATCTGCGAGTTTAATGACCGCCGCTTGTTTGGTCTGTGCCAATACCAAACACACACAGGTACACACACACACACACACACCCATTGCCCTCAGCCATGGAATCCATGCGAATGCAAACACTTCCGCAATTCCGCAAGCGGCAAAACTTGAAACGCCCATTTTGTACTTGTACATTGCGTGGGAGACGATAATAGATTAGCTTCTAAAAGCAGACAGATTAGGCACGTTGCGTCCATTAGCATTTTCCAGATACTATTGCCAATTTACAAGCTGGCACATATTATCCACAGTTCAAGGCAGTTTCCCGGCCAACTAAAGACATTAAAATTTTATCTATCTTGGCAAAAAAAAACAACAACAAATAACACTAAAGTGCGTTCTATACTTATTTCGACACTCAAAAAGAATCAAATTTTAAGATTTGTTATTTAGAAAATATAATGTATATAAAATAAAATGCATATATTTAAGAAAAATATGATAGCCATACTTTAAGTATATACAAATCATTTTAATTTATGATCTAAACTTTGCAAAAATTTAGTTTAAATATTCTCAAATCTTGGAGAATAATTCACCAGTCTTAAGAATCCGTTTAGTTTTGACTTAGTTATAAAAGTTTTTATTTGAAGACTGGCATTTATTGGGAACTTTTTTTTGGAAGAAAACAAAATATATAGACATTCGATTAAAACCAACAAATATTCGAAAATAAGAAAAGTATAATTTTTAAATATCAATATACAGATTTAAGATGCAGAACTTAAATATTGAAAAGAATGCCAACTACTATGAATATATGTTCAGTTTTGTATTTAAAGATGACTTCTGATATATTGAAAAGCTTGGGTAAATTACCATGGAAGCTATATATAAAAAGATTTTATTATATAGTATATATATCCTTACCCCTACCAATCTTAAAGTAATGAGCTCAATTTTCAGCAATAATTGTTCTCTTCCTCTTATTCATTCACATGTAATATCATTTACCATAACTGCGATGCCAAACGCTGGACAGGCTATGGCCACATATCACCGCGCACAGACTGGGGCAAGGTGACAACGATCTTTTATGCCATCGTTGGGATTCCATTGATGCTGCTCTGTCTGTCAAACATTGGAGATGTGATGGCCACATCGTTTCGGTGAGTTGGGCAAGTTGTTGGCGTTGCGTGCCCATTGTTAATCTGTCAGGCAGGTTCCTCTACTGGCGCATCTGCTGTTATGTGTGCACCCGCTCGGCGAAGCGGCCCAGAAAGGCACGGTCGAGGCAAAGATCTATGCGGATGCGGCCGCAGCGTGTTACGTCGCGATCTCAGCCGCCGCCTTCGTTCAGGCGCTCCATGAAGATGACACAGCGTTCCAACAATGACTCTGGGCTGGGGCCCTCCATGGGGCATGCCTACTCGGATCCGGAGCTGCGCACTCTTGGTCGCGGCTACGATGACCGCGATCGTGACCTTGGCGGCGGCGGATATCGCGGCAGTGGAAACCGTTCACGTCGCCCGCAGATGTACCACCAGCCACTGCAGCATGAGCCTCGCCAGCGTCATACCATTTACGGCGATGAGTACGAGACGCAGACCTTGAATCGCGCCAACCGCTACAGCAGCCGGCAGCGTCAGCGGGACAGAATGCGGGACCGGCATACTGTGGAGCGTGAGCGCTATTTGGGTCACTCCAGGACGCACATACATGGTTCCATTGATGATTTCAGCGACATGCCCCCACCGGCGAAGCGTGCGGCCAGTGTGCGCTCCGTGCGCTCACCCCAACACCAGGATACGCGCGCCTCTCGTGAACTGCATCGTCTGCACTCAACGCCGGGTCGTGGCACGGGTCGTGCAAAAAGTGTGGATCCGCGGCATGGACACATCTCGTCGCACTACGAAGATGTGGATGAGGATGTGGTGCGTAAGACGCCCATAATACCCAATCGCTATGCGCTGGACGACGACAACGACTTGGTTAACAGCGGGCAACATGCCCGCAATGCGCCACGCAGCCAATCGATGCCCAGGTCGGCGCATCGTCAACGCCAACGTCAAAGGGACCTAGAACGAGAGCGTTCACCGCAGCCACAACCGCCGCCTTCGCATCATCATCATCAACAACAACAACGATCCAATGGACGACGTGCTGGCAGTCTGGGCCGTCAATCCTCGCGCTACGGCAATCATTTGGAGCCGCCAGACTACGATGCAGGGCCGCCGCAGCGACATCGACGCGGACGCTCGCCGCGCCACGAGGACTACGTGGAGGAGAGCTTCGATGAGCTGTCCATGTGCGACGATAACGACTTATACGAGGATTATCCAGTGCGTCATGGTTCGCGTAACCGGGAGCCCCGCCGCGAGCGACGTCGCGAACGCCGTCTACCACCCTCGCCACGCATCATGTCGCCAATGGGCTTTCCCGTGCAGCGTCAGATCCGGCGACGTCCCAGCTATGATTACGATGACGACGATTCCATGTACGGCGACGAGTATGGCGACAGGTTCGAGCTGGTGCCCAAGGACCGGCCGGTGCCCATTTGGCTGTGCGTCTTTCTGGTGGTCAGCTATATACTGGGTGGTGCCGCCCTTTTTGCCTACTGGGAGCAATGGTCATTCCTGGACTCGGCCTACTTTTGCTTCATCACGCTGACCACAATTGGTGAGTGCCCGTGTTTAATCTGCACATATCCATCTTCAGCTCTGACTTGCTTTACTTCTGCTGCAGGCTTTGGTGATTTTGTGCCCGCCAAGGGCGTCAAGGATGAGTCGGAGCAGTCCATTGCCTACTGTTCCCTGTATCTGCTCTTTGGCATCGCGCTGCTGGCCATGAGCTTCAATCTGGTGCAGGAGGAGTTTATAGCCAATGTTAAGGAGGTGGCACGACGCCTGGGCATACTCAAAGATGATGACGATGAACAACAGGACGACTGAGTCTCCTGGACTTGCCACAGTAAGATTTCAATATAATAAACAAACTTAACGCGAAATGCTTGGGATATGATTATCCAAGAAATGCCATAGCATCTGTATACATTTATCTCAATTACATTTATTTCACTATATCGAACGTTCACTGTGGTACAGGTGCGTTTATTTGAGGAAAAATATGTGCATATTGTATTGAAAAAGAATCTCAAAAGTTGATACAAAAAGCAAAAATAAAGTTAAAAATAAAAAGGAACAGGCAAATTTAAAAGAGGTGCTCCAATTAGCGACTTATGTGTTACCGGGATGCTGGATACTCGTCTCAGGCCATGTTCTCTTTGTTGTGCTGTGCGGGGAATAAGGCAAGACAAATTATGATTGCTCTGCTATTTAACAGCTTGTATTTTTTAGCTTACCCTATTAAAGGCAGGCGAGCTGAGCGGTGAATTGCGAGGCGAATTACGAGGCGAATACTTGTGAGGTGTCAGGGAGCGGGACAGGGAGCCGCTGCGCATGCCGGCAAGCGGCTGCTTCAGCGTGTTGCTGGCACCTCTGGAGCCGCGTTGCTTAACATTTACGGCCTCAACGGGCTCAATGGGCGTGGAGTTCATAATGGTCTCCGTTTCGGACAGCTCCTGCACAGACTGCAACGATTCCTCTGGTTCACCCTCGCTGCACTGCAAAATCAAGGAATCCTTAGAATTGATAATGATATATACATAAATCTGATGACTTACCTCATCAATGGTGGCCGTGGTGTCCAAATCCGACCAGTCCTGCTCCTGCCGATAGCGACGCACAATATCCTGATGCGGCGATGTGGCTGCTAGTGTGCGTGGATAGATGAAGTCCCGCTTGGATGGAGTTGTACCAGTGGGCGCATACGTTTTCAATTCACTCTGATGGAAATTGGAGAGATCCTGGTGGCAAGTCTGTTGATGTTGCCGCTGCAATATCGCGTGCTGCTTTGTCTGCTCGGAGAGCTTCTCAATGAGATCGGCTGTGATGGCAGCATGACCGATGCCCAATTGCACATCATCTTTAATAATCTGATGGATCTGCTCGGTGGCCGACTCAAGGGTTTTCTGCTGCTCGTGACGCAGTTTCTCAGCGTGCTCCTCGCTGGCCGAGCACATCTGGCGCAGTTGCTGCTCATGGTTGCGCACTGTTTGCATGCTGTGCTCGGCCTGCTTAGCGCTCTCCTTGCATAGATTCTCCAGCTGCACCTGTAGCGTGGAACACTTAGCAACTCCCTGATCCACGCACAGCACTGCAGCCTGCAGTTGGCTGCACAGTTCATCGCGTGCTGCCTGCGTCGCCACGGAACCCTCCATGGCGTACGCCTGCATGGTGTTGCCTGTCTGCTGTGCCTGTTCATTGGCCGCAACATGGCTGCGCTTCAGTTGCCCAACGCGAGTACCCATGCTGATTGTGTTTTTGGCGCGCTGCTGCTGTAGCTGCTCCAGTTGATTCATCAGGGCCGCTTCTTGCTGTGCCAACTCCTCCTCGTAGGCCAATTCGGTCTGCAGCTGCTGCAGTTGCTCGGCATCGGGAGCACTCAACGCCGTTAGCTGCTGCAATTGCTGTTGCACCTGATCCACGTGCTGCTGCAGCGCCTTTGCGTTGCGCTCAATAATCGGAGAGAAGCCATCGCGCATGCTATCCAGCGCTGCCTTGTGACGCTCATTGTTGGCCTCCAGCTCCTGCAAATTGCTTAGCATATCCTCGCTTAACATGGCATTACGTTTCTGCATATGCTCTAGTAGTTGTGCCACTAGCGCTATGCAATGGGCGTCTTCAATGCTGGCAACAGCTGCCGCAAACTGTGCCTGCAGCTGCCCATGTGCCGTTAAAGCTTCTGTGCAACTGATACGCAAGTTGTCGATGCTCTTGGTGGCATTGGCCACCAGACGCTGATGCACATTGGTACAATTCGCTAAGCAGGAATAGAAGCAACATAAATTGAATGTGAAGTATAAAATAATGTATCGCTTACCCAGCTCGTCGGTCAACTGCTGCGTGGACCCTGCATGTTGTTCCTGGTATTGGGTGAGACTGCCATCGAGCAGCTCCAGATTGTCCCGCATGCGCTCCGTGAACTGTGCGCATGTGCTGCGAATTTTTTCATCCACATGTCGCCGTCGCTCAATGGTGCCGTGCAGCTGGTGCGTATCATCTGCAGCCGAGTCGGCTGCTTCCAGTATTTGATGGGCTTGTGTAGTCAGCTCCTGTTCGGTCTTAACATGCGACTCAACCAGCTGTTTCTTTTCCTTGTAGCGCCGTTTGGTTTTGGTGAGCACTTTCTTGGTGAGCAGTAGCGATCCCTTGGTTTCGGTTAGATGCTGTTCAGTGCGTGAAAGCTTCTGGGTCTTCTTCACGAGATTCATGCTGACCTCATTAAAGATCTTCTCCTTGTTTTGCAGCTCATCTTTGAGCGCTTTAAGCAGCAACATTTTTTCGTTTAGCTCACGCGTCTGCGAATCCATTTTGAGCGTCATTTCATTGTAAGTATCCTCGGCCAGGTAAATTCCATTTTTATCGCGTGCCGCCATCAGATCCCGCTTCAGTTTATCGATCTCCTCAGTGTACTCTTTGAGTACCGTCTTTTTGGTCAGCTTTTGATTGACCTCTGGTTTATTCTGGATATTCTTAGCACGGTGCGCATACTCCAGTGTGCTGAGTGTTTCCTCAATGTCCTTGTGGCCCGGCGAGATGGTGGCTATAATTGAAGTCTTCGTGCGCCCACCCAACGACTCCTGCAGCAGCCGAGTCAGCTTAGACTCGCGATAGGGCACATGAGGCGCCCGATCGACCAACGCTGTGATCACACGACCCAGTGTCAACAGGCTCTGGTTAATATTGACAGTTTCACGCACTCGAATGCCCTTCTCATTGCCCGCCTTGGAGACGTTCTCGCTGCCCGCCAAATCAACCAGATTCAGTTTGCCAATTTTGAGCATCTCCTCGCCTTCCATGCCATTCTCACGTATGTGCACTACAATAGAGAAAACGGTATGGGAGCGCGAGGATTGGGCATTCATGAGTGTGGTGGCCGTTTTGCGTCGCTCCTTGCCCTTCTCCAGCAGCTTGTACACATCGTCCTTGCTATGCACGGGTATCTCTTCCAGACCCTGAATAATAACCGAACCCTTCTTTGTGCTGTCATCAAATATACGAATCTTGGTATTGTCATCAGTTGAAAGCAAATCGCATAGCTCCTCGTTGTACAACTCCAAATAGGAGATGCGCATAGTGTACTCGAGCTCCATCATGCGCAGTTCATCGAACAAATGACTGAGCGCACGCGGTATAATGCCAATTTCCGAGTCCTATAAAAGAGGCGTGTACTAATTAGAAAAAGGTTTGAAATTCTGAGAAGACACAACAGCTGCGAGGTCAGTCACAAAGTAGAAAAACTTGTTTTCGCAGGTCAAAAAAGTTCTCTAGCGAAACACAACTGTACCGCGCAGGCGCAGACTCAGTTCTATATATTTAAATTGGGGTTCACTTACATCTTCCCAGGAGGACTTCAGTTCTGCGCACTCGTTGCCCACCATTGTGTGTGTTTTGCCCGTGCCCGTTTGACCATAGGCAAACACAGTGCAGTTGTAACCCGCGAGCACCTCCTCGATAAGCGGCGCCACAACGGTGCTGTATACATCGCATTGACGCGATTCCGGCCCAAAGGTGCGATCGAACGTAAACTTCTTGGTCAGCTTGGAGTCGAGCGTGTGCCGTGTGACAATTTCGCGTGGCGTCATCACATCCACCACTTCCGCGGAACGTATGCATCGTTCCCGCGAGTTAAGCGGTCTGCAAAGCCAAAACATAGGATCACAATTTCGGCAGCTAAATATGGATATACGGAGCTCACCTGACGCGCACATAGACCTGTATGTTTTGATTTGATTTTCGCGCTTGCTGCTGGCGCGAGCCATTCGCACCCGATGTTAAATCCATGTCTATAAATGACGCCAAGCCCTTTTATGCCTTTGCAAATAACTGTAATTCACGTATTTATGTGTGAAATTGAAGTGTATCACCTTAACAGGCTGCTCTGATCACGCGCTGGGGATGTTAGCGAAATCACTTAATATTTAAATGTATATAGAGCCAGCTTTCAAATGCAATACGAGAAAATATTACAAGCTGCCGCTTTAATCGCGTCGTCCGTTCAATTTTGAATGACCCGAAAAATGTTATTTAGCACCACGGATGTGCACACACTGTGCAAGACATTTTTCGTATGTTAGACTTGTGCACACACTGTTAGCGTTGATTTCGTATCAATATGTGAATAATTTCGCCTCTGCTGTAAATAGTTGTAAAAATAAGTTAACCAAAAAATAAGTCGTCTTGATTTTCAAGTGTATTTATGATATTTGATAAATTTTAATATAGCTGATATGGTCCAATTGTGTAAGCGCACGTACGCGCTCAATTGAGCCTCCGAAAAAAGATGACAGATGGCGCTAGCTACAATTATCGATATTGCATCGATAGTTTTCGTGAGCCAGTGTATGTGTGAGTGCTTGTGCCTTCGTCACCTCGTTAAATAGGTTTTTTAGTTTTTTAAAAATTGCTATGTTTGCAGCTGTTAAATTTAATCAAAATTAAAAAAAAAACGTCTGCCGCCTGGACAATCACATTGCAACACAAGGTGAGCGTGAGCGGTGTTAAGAGTTAGGCCGCAGTTATTATAGTTGTTGTTGTATTGCTACTGCCGCTGCCACCGCCGGTGCTTGAGTTTGTGTGCGTGTGTGTCGCGTGTGTGCGCCGTCATCGCTGGGAAGAACCATTGACAAAACGCAGTAAGAACCCGACCTATAGCTACTTAAAGCCAACAATAACAACGATAAGAGGCATATTTATCAGACTTATGCATGTTTTAGGTGCACGTGCAGAATGGAGGCCGAAAACGATGTGTACGATGACATGAATCTGTACATAACGCAGGAGTGCTTTATTGTCGAACCGAATGGCCAGGATGAACTATTGATTATTGGCCGACTCGACAAGGTGACGCGTGTGCAGGCCAAGACCACACAGCTAGTCAATCTGATGCCGACGAGACGAATATGTGGTATTCTGGGCACAATACATCTGCTAAGCTGTGACTATCTGATAGTGGCCACCCATCGCCTCTTCGTGGGCGTCCTCAACAATGCGATCGTGTGGCGTTTGGCTGGCTACGATATTATACCGTACATTCCCAATGCAATTCAACGCTCTGAGAATCACGCTTACCTGAGCATGTTGCGCCAGACTTTGGATACCAAGTTCTTCTACTTCTCCTATCGTTACGATCTCACGCAAACGCTACAGCGGCAGCAGGAGAATCTAGGAAAAAAGACGGAGAAGGGTCTGCTGGATCCTGCGGATAAGCGTTTTGTGTGGAACTCTTATGTGCTGCAGCAGTTCAAGTGCGATAAAATGCAACGCTTTCAATTGCCGCTGGTGCACGGTTTTGTGTCGGTCAACCAGGTGCAAATTAACGGACAAACCTTCTTCTGGAGTATTGTGACGCGCAGATCTGTGGAGCGTGCGGGCACGCGGCTCTTCTGCCGTGGCAGCAACGATTTGGGCCAAGTGGCGAACTTTGTGGAAACGGAACAGATTGTCGAGTTCAATGGGCAGCACACCAGCTTCGTGCAGACGCGTGGCAGCATGCCATTTTACTGGCAGCAGCTGCCCAACTTGCGCTATAAGCCAAAGCCGCGTCTGATCCCCGGCAAAGACCATTTGGCGGCATGCACGGCGCATTTCAATGCACAGCTGAACATTTATGGGAAGCAGGTGGCTGTCAATTTAGTTGATCAAAAAGGCGCCGAGGGCGAGCTGGAGGCAACATTTGCGAGACTGGTTCGCGAGATGGGCAACCCTGGAGTGCGCTATGAGGCCTTTGACTTCCATCACGAGTGCCGTAAAATGCGGTGGGACCGACTGAACATTCTAATCGATCGGCTCGCCCATGAACAGGAAAACTTCGGTTTCTATCATGCCTTCAATAATGGCAACGTCGTGTCCACGCAAACGGGCGTGTTCCGTATAAACTGCATTGACTGCCTCGACAGAACGAATGTGGTGCAGAGCATGCTTGCTCGCCGCTCCCTCAGCGCCGTGCTCCAAAAACTGGGTGTGCTACATGTGGGTCAACTGGTCGAGCACGCTTCCACCAGCTTCGAGACGCTGTTTAAGGGCGTTTGGGCGGACAATGCTGATCTTGTCTCGCTACAGTATTCCGGTACAGGAGCCCTCAAAACGGACTTTACCCGCACCGGCAAACGCACCAAAGTGGGTGCTGTGAATGATGGCAAGAATTCGTTAATGCGCTACTATTTAAACAATTTTGCGGATGGTAGACGCCAGGATGGCATCGACCTGTTCCTGGGCAACTATCTGATCGATGAAAACGAGGGCAGCATTCTGCCATCGCCACTGTCAAAGGCACGTGGCTGGCGCTACTTCGCCTTCCCATCGGTGCTGCTAGTCGCTGTTGCCATGTTCATTATCACTATGACATATCCGGCCGAATTCAATACGGAGAACCTGCTGTTCATGCTCTTCTGGGGTGCCATGATTGCGGTCAGCGCCACTGGCATTCTCCACTACGGAATCGAGTTTGTTCAGTGGCCACAGCTTTTTCCTCTCCTGTCCTTTCATTCCGCCTGACGTTAGTGTCGTTTAGTTGATAATCCCGTGCTGGATAGCCTGCCAAGTCTACGTGCTTTGCTACCAACATTTAAAGACACTGCATACAAAATATACGAAGCAAAATTCCTGTATACAAATGCTCTTTAATTATGTATATTGTGTTTAACACGCCCTTTGTCTTCTTCCTCCTACCATCCTAGCTAATTAATAGATGGAGTTGTTCTTAAGCATAAGCTTCGTGCTGCTTGCAATGCACAACCAGAGGCAGTGACCGTAGCAGCGCCACTTAAAGGTACATTTACGAGTAGCTCAATCAATTTTGTAGAAAAATTTCGGGAATTGAATAAATGATTTTATTAAAAACTAGAAAAAACCCAAAAAAAAAAAAATTTAATTTAATTGCATCTGGTGTGGGTAAAAGTGTAAATATCGGAGTCTGAGATTTAAACAAGACTATTTTATGAAAATGTTTGTTTTGAAACGGGATTTAATATATATATATTTTGTGCATAAACTGAACTTTAAGCTTAAACTAACTTTAAGATAGTTAAATATGGAACAGCCTTAAGACTCAAAAATATTTGGGCGCAAAATGAGTTTTGACAAGGCGTCTACGTTATCTTAGATTCCTTAAATACTTAAGAAAATAAAATAAAAATAAAAATGTAAGGCATCAAAGAGATATTTCAAGATAGATTTCTCAGCAGGCATGTGTTTTGTAAGCCATGTTAGAGAATATCGAAATGTCTATACCAGTTCAGTTTTTACCTCGGCCCAAATTACAACATTAAATTTTTTAGTAACAAAATTTTGGAATCTATTCTCTGCACCCGCAGATTGCAATTAAAAACAATTCGCAATGACCTCGCCCAGGAGCTTAATTTATATGCTTGAGTTTGTGGTTGATGATCTGCTCATAACACGGCAGAATTTATGTGCGCCCGAGGAGTATCCGACCTGTGTGGAGATCACGTTCCGCTCCAGCGTTTTTCTCAATATCTGCGATCGCGAGTATGGAACCTGCGTGAATCCTAAGCAGCCGAAGTGCGGCAAGTGCTGTATATTCGCGCTGGAGTCACCTATCACGGACAAGGATCGGCTCCTGATACACGTGTATAAGAAGCGAACCAATCGCTGCAAGTTCCTGATTGGACTCACCGAGTTGCCAATGAAGCCAATTTTCGATCGCGTCAGGGAATCCTTTGACGCAGAGAATGTTAACTGGGAAAAGATATGGCACGATCAGCTACAAAATTTACCCAAAATGAAGAGTCCCAACAAAGATGTGCTGGATAATTGTGCCTGCTATGATCCCGGATATGAGCGTCGCGAACAATTGTGTCCAACCTCGGAACTAACCAAACGGCTGCTGCCGCTCTTCAATCTCTGCAAGCAGCAGACGGGCAATATTGTGCTCATCATGCGTCTGCTCTGCAATGGGCCGGCCATTGTGTCTGCCTTTTCGCTGAATCATTCAATCTGTTCACGCAATCCAGTGGGTCCGCCGCCGTGCCCGTCACCATGTCCGCCGCCATGCCCGTCGCCCTGCCCGTCCCCTTGCCAACCGCCGTGTCCACCGTGTCCGTCCTGTGGCAAATTTAAGTCGCCTTGCGAGCCCGAACGTTGTCCCGAAGATCCCTGTGATCCCTGTTGCGGCGGTGGATCTGCAAGCGCCACAGGTGGTCCCATGGACACTGGCAAGAAATGCTGCAGAGGCAAGTGTCCACCTTGCCCATTGCCGAAGTGCGTGCAGCCAGATCCTTGCTATCAGCCACCACCAGAGCCCAAAAAGTGCTTGCGCTACTTCGCCTGCAATCTGGACAAGATGTGTCCCTGCGAGTACTGTGAGGATGAGTTTGATCGCGGTAAGTCCATACATACGTAAATAGCTCGTTCAACTCTCTAATTGATCCTATGCGCACAGAGTGTCCCACTGTGCCGTCCAAGCGACGTTGCAAGTCGGTCATTGAACAGCGCCTGGAGCCTTGTGGTCCATGCGGTGGCGTTCCAGCCCATCCACGTTTCGTGCAGGTGCAAAAGCAACAGGAAGCGGATATGTCACGCAAGGATAAGCAGAAACAAGACAAAGAGAAGGAGAAGGAAAAGGAGAAGGAAAAGAAGAAGAACAAGAGCCGTCAGTCTGGCGGCGGCTGCGGACCATACATTGATATTGCATCACCAGCGATCACAGGCGGACTATTCTGCGATAGTTCCAAGCCAACGCCGGGCGGTGGATACGCAGATCCCTGCAACCACTGCTGCCCCGAATATGCCAGCTGCTGCAACCTAGGTGAGTGAGGTAGTGTGCAAAATATGAATGACATGATAGTAATCCCATGTAAACGCCAAAATCTCTCGTTTCGTTTCAGCGCGCAATCGAGCCATACGGCAATTGCGACACCTTCTGACCAAATACAACATTCAGATTGATTAGGTTCAAGTTCTCGCATTCAAATCAAAATTCTGCGCTCAGGACCAAATAAAAACAAATACACAATGGCAAACTAAGGATATGCAGAGCCAAAAAGTCAATCGTACAATAATAAAACCTAGAGGTAGGTCAATTTCTGAGCTGCGACTGCATTATTATTCCTAATCCAATATTTACCCATAGTGATCGATGATTGTGACGAGTGTGTTGTCAAAGCCAATGCAAATACAGTTCGTGTTTTAATTAACCAAAGCAATCTGACTCTGATGCCAACGAAATTCGAGGATCAAACCCCCTGCTGCTGCCAAAGAACCAACCGAATAGAGGAATGAAGTTTTGGTATTGACGATGTAGCTAGGGGGGGGGCAGCGTGGAGGATCGCTATTTCAATAAAGTCCCAAAGCGAGATGCTGCAGTGCAGCGCCTTGGCCAACTATAAACTGTATTATTTCAGTCACATTTTACGCACAGTGTTTCTCACATTTTGAACTTTCTTAGACTGTCACCTTTTTCTGCTCGAAAACACTCGTTTTAATCTAAAGAAAAATGAAGACTTTTATTCTCAAATTTCTAGAATAATATTGCTTTTGGTAAGATTTTAATAGAGATTGTGGGGAATCGATATAAATGTGCCTTGACGCGCGCTCAGTTAATAGTTTTTATAATTTTGATATATGTATATGAAAATATGAGAAAAGAAAGAAAAGTAATCGGGCTTGCTTTGCTCTGATATCTACTGTTCTATAGAAAAATCATTTCAGTCACATTCCAGCGCTCCATCCAAAAACAATATTTCAAAATTCAAATTTTACGTTAACCAATTTTCAGTACAAATTATCGTTTCGGTCACGTGTTTAATGTTCTACAGAGTTGTATGTTGTTAAAATGGACTTTATTCCGCATTTATTGTACATGTTTGATTTTGTGGTCGATGATTTGGTGATAACGCGTAGGAATCACTGTGCGCCCGAAGAGTACTCCACCTGCGTGGAGCTAACCTTCCGGTCCAGCGTGTATGCGAATATATGCGATCGTGAGTACGGGGGCTGCATCGAGCCCAAGCAGCCGCAGTGTGGCAAGTGTTGTATTTTTGCATTGGAATCGCCAATCACAGAGGAGGATCGCCTGTTGGTTCATGTCTATAAGAAACGTACGGATCGCTGCAAGTTTCTGATTGGCTTCGGTGAGGTCAAAGTAAAGCCGCTCTTTGATAAGATCGACAAGGAGTTCAACACGGAGAACTGGGGTTGGAGGAGCAAGCGGCAGGATAATATGATAAATTTACCCTTGTTGAAAGGCAGCAACAGGGACCTGCTGGACACGTGCGAGTGCTTTAATGCCGGCTTTCAACGCCTGGAGCAGCTCTGCCCCAGCTACACCATGGCCAAGAGAATGCTGCCCCTTTTTAATATCTGCCAACAGCAGACCGGCAACATGGTGCTCATAATGCGTCTACTCTGCCATGGACCCACAATAGTGTCGCACTTCAGAAAAATTGGCAACAAAATGGTCCCAACGCCGCGCCCAGCGGATCAGCATCCGTGTTATATAATACCAGCAGAGCGCGACGGCAAACGACCCACCAAAGGCTATCGTTACTTTGCCTGCAATGAGGACAAATTGTGTCCCTATGACATATGTGAGGACGAGTTCGATCGCGGTAAGTTTAATCGTGTGGCCCAAAACCCACTAAAGCAGCTAATTGAGCCTGTGTGACCACAGATTGCCCCACTGTGCCGTGTAAGTATCGATGCAAGAGGATTGTCGAGCACTACAGACCGTGCGGGGATTGTGCCGACGTTGACATATTTCCCAGATTCGCTTCCTATGAAAATCTACTGGTAAAGAGACAACAGCAGATGGTCAATAATCAGAAAACAATCTGTCGCAAGATCAGGAGTTCAACCGAGCAGTGCAAGCCATGCGGTGGATGTGTCGACTTAACTCCCGGATTAGCTTGCAATAAGAATAAGAAAGGGAAACATAAGAAGAAGAAGAGCAATAGGAAAACCAAGAAGACGTAATGTACAACAGTTTTGAAGCCGTAAAATTGTACCTACTACCGGAACCGATGCAGAGTGAAGAACGTTCAAGCAAAAAAGAACAATATTGGAGAGAAAAATGAAAACACAAAAAAAAAGCTGTTATAATTTTCAGTGAAAATAAAATTGTTGTAATACGAAAATAATTATTCATTTATGCCAATGTTCTTTCCCCGTAATATAGCATACATTTCGTCGTACGCTTCAATTGTAATTGTTAGTTGATATTTATCAAATCACTCTTCTTCCGCCTTGTCAAGTGATTCCGAGTCACAGCTGCTTCGCTTTGTGTAGGTTTTTTACTATCGACCGCAGACGCCAACCAACTAAGTTTCCATATACGTTGAGTCATAAGTTTCCTGTTCTCTAATTTGTTTTATTTATTATTTATTTTATTTTTATGTGTATGTAGTTCATACATTTTTAAGATGTCAAACCTTAGCAATCGTTGAAAGTCTTTTTTGAAAAGTAAATCAAAATTGTAAAAACGCTTCAACAGTAATTCACAAAATTATCCAGGGTAAAAATTTCATTTTATTTTCAACAATCGATTCGGAATTTTCTATCGTCAAAAAAGAAAAAAATTCTCTCGTAATTTCCCGTTTGTGTTTTTTTCTTTGCAGTTCAAGACTGCGATTTTAGGACTCTCGTTTTGAGTAAACGCAGGGTAACCCAGTTGATTGAACCATAAGGCAGCCTCTCACAAGGGCTCGGCCTGGTCAATTCAATTGGTTTTTGAGAATTTAGAAATTGAATCGAACGGGAATTGAGAATATTTACTATTATTTCCTATTTCGTTTCGTTTAACTTTAGCGCGCAGACGAGCTATAGGGAAATTGCGCCATTTACTGGTCAAGTGCAATATCCAAATTGACTAATTCAAGCTATATCTAAATTTAATTTTGAGCTCATACACGACCACATAAACATATCCAACCAAAATGGCCAAAAAGAGGGGTAAGAAGGGCAAGAAGGGCAAGAAGAAAGGTGGGGTCAGTTGCCCAATCAATATCAATGACCAAATGCTGAGACCAATGATGCCAAGAGGTCTGTATTCCTTGATAAGATCCAATCATAGATATTAAACCCCATTGTGGTCTCGCCCTTTCAGTTGTGCCCGATTGCGATGAGTGTTGTCAGTGCCAATGCGATTGCGATTGCAGCCCCGAGATACAGCCATGCTTTATACAGCCCACGCGTCCGGATCCGGGTCCCGAGGCCTATGACGAGTTCGAGGCCTGTCTCAATGGCAGCGGTCTGACAATACGCGTTTTGAAGAATACGCACAAAGTGCAGAGCGTTGACGATGGCGCCGATTCGAACCTTGGTCCCGAAGATGATCCCGTTTATAGGCCAAACTTGGAAGACTGCTCATCGAACAAGTGCCTCAACGATATGCTGCAGCGCAGCGACTTTGCCCGGAAGCACATACAGCGACGCACCTGCGGCCGGATTGTGAATCATCCCAACATACCGAAGGTGCGCGCGAACATCAAGTACTCGGGCAATGATACCTGCGAAACGGACAACTATTACGTGCCCTTCTCGAAGATCAAGGAGGCGTGCGAAAAGGAGGATGCCAAGGTCGATTGTTATCGATCGAAGGTGTGCGATCAGCGGGAGGCCAAGGTCGAATGCTATCGCCGGCGTTTGTGCGGCGGCGGGGTACCCGTGATTCCGGCGATACCGCCAACGCAGAACCGCCGCAGCTGCTGCATGCAGGTGGAGGCCAAGGACATCAAGGACACCATGAAGGGCATCGAATTGGACACCCGCAAGAAGGGCATAGAGGTAAGTGGAAAAAAACCCCACACACACACACACTCTAGCACACATACGGGTGCAGCTCTTGGCAGCTCGAAGCACGTGCTGGAATGCGGAATTCGAGTCTCGAATAGTCCAATTGTTCCGTGACGTGGCCCCCAGTCTGGCTAAACGCTTTCAATTGCCAGAGCTGCAGCATGTCTGTTGCATAACCACACGAGTCAGTTGCAACAGCGTCAAATATGTGGTGCCAACCACAATTCGTATTCGCAACGGCTGTAAATCTGCCAGCAAAAACCACTCTCTACATCCAGAAAAAATTAATCGCAAAAAATTGCATGAAATTTCAGGTAATTTTGCCCAACCTTTCGCAGCGGACTAGAGCTTCATTTAAGGCCATATTACCTTAGTCCATTGCTGCTCAAATATAATACATAAGCTAAGATCTCGTCCATTTCTGCCCAAATATTGGGAAAAATTAAGCCCATAATTTAGACCAAATAATACTTCCTCCACTTGCGAAACAATTTCTTTCCAAGTGTAATTCCTTTCCCAACCTTTTTGTTAGGTGTGTTATAAAACGTGCGAGGAGACCGATAGCGATGTGTTTCTCGTCAAGCTGGGCAGCAAGTCGAAGTCGCAGCACAAGAAGAACACCATTGAGATCGAGCTGCGGACACCAAAGCAGCCGATCACATTGCCCATGAGCAAGGTGACAACGGAGACGTACGTGACTGAGGCGTTGCTGGACGCTAGCAAGGGCAAGAAGCGTAAGGGCAAGAAGGGTAAGAAGGGCAAGAAGGGCAAGGGCAAAGGCAAAGGCAAGAAGAAGAAATAGTAGATAGATAGTGATTATCGAAGGCACAAGCAGCAACCCATCGTCCAATCCTGGTAAACATATATATATACCATATATATAAATCCAGGAAGCCTGCCCAGTTATATATATCCTATTGCCAACCTTTACCCTAAGAAACACTGTTACAAAACATCTGGATTCGAAATTATTTATAGTTTTAGGTCATTTAGCCGCACCCGGAATGAAGGAACACAATTGTCTAATAAATAAAAAAAATTTGGGATAAACACAAATCTGTGAACAATTCGCATTTATATAATTTTTAAAGCTCTGGCAATCATTCCATACTGTCTGTTAATGCCTCGCAGAAGACATTATATATATGATCCATAAACTTTAAACAAGATGACTCTCATACTATATGTGTATGTATATGTGCATGTCATTAAAATTAGCGTACATCAGTTGGATCAGCCAGTTTTTTTTATTGCCGTAGACCGACCCTGGCAAAGGGCAAATGATCGTCGCATGTTGGCAATTCTTGAGGCTGATTTCGATCTGGCCAACCTGGCTTAATCAGTTGGCCAGTATAACCTGCAACTGCACAAGAACCGCGCCCCATCCACACCTGTGGCCCATCCACACCTGCGCTCATATGCAGTTAAAAAAAACCGCTTCTGGTCCAGCTGAAGATGTCTGCGATGCAAAGGTCTCTTCACGCCAATAAAGTAGCTACGTAGGAATGTGGAGGTAGCCAGCAGATGCAGCTACTTCTTGGTCAATACAAACTAGTTGCCAGAGAGGTAGAGAGAGAGAGAGAGAGAGAGAGCGAGAGAGAGCGGCCCAGAGAGAAGAGAAACCCGCCGTTAAGCGAACCAGCTGACCGAAGCGAAGCTGAAAGCAGCGATCGGCTCCAGAGAGGAATCTCGAGCGCGCAACGTGTTTTAGTTGCGTTCAAACGCTTTAGTCTGTAAGTAAGCAAGCCGAAAGCTAACGCAACATCACGTAAACGGAGCAACGATCGAGGCTCTGGACGGTCCGAGAGCTCAACGCCAAATGCGAACCACTTTTGCGATCGGTCAGCTCGCGAGTCGCCGGAAAGCTAAAGTGAGAGTAAATTCAGGCGCGCGCGCTCCCGCTGCCGCAACTATTCCAACAACACGGAAAGAAAGTAAACGCTGCGAGACAAGCTCGCTCGATTACCTAATCCCAGCTGAAGTTGGAGGCGCAGATTAATGGCTGGGCGCTCTCCATGCCACAACGCCATGAGATTTAGGAGGAGAAAACAGAAGCCCTGAGACTAAAGACCCATTTGAATCATAAAAACAAAAACAAGATCGTCGCATCGATCGTCGCATCGATCGACCCATTGTGAACTCATCTACTCATAACTTGTAGTTCCATGTGGCATCCATGCATTGCTAATTTAGAAAGCGCCAGTTCAACATAATCATAGCATATCGGCAGCATCACTATTCATAGACATTCACACGATCAGATTGGTGTCCCATAGAGCTTGTGCAGCCTGCAGCTTGCTTTCTCCCGCGTCAGTCGTGTCTGTGTCGCCGTCGCGAACTTTAGCTTCAACTCGAAGCCTGATAGCTTAACACAAACTGGTGCCCAAATTGAACCAAAGCGCGCGATGATAATGCAACGCTTCACGCTCTTCACAGTGCTCTTATCGTTGGCCAGTGTCGATTCCGGTAACAACCCGCCACAAAACGTGCCTCTATCCGTGCCGCTTGCGGCCTCTGTGCGCCCCGTGCCGCGCAGTCTCCATGCGGCCAGCAACAACAGCAGCAGCAGCAACAGCCGAGGAAACGTTCCAATTGCAGTCGTCGAGCAGCAGGAGGAGGAGGTGCCGTTGGCAACCACAAATGGCCGCGACAAGAGAGGTAAGTACTTGATGCTTTCCCACCATTGATAGCCAAGTGGCATCTAGTGCCTAAATCCATGCCAAGGTCGTTCCATCGATACACGTTAACGAGGCTGCCTCAATGGTTGTGCCAATATTTAAGATATCACTTAGAGAGCTAGAGAGATTGTTATATAGTTTTTATAATGCCCTGTACCCATTGAACATGTTTAAAGAGGGGTATAATGGTTTTGATCAAATGTATGTAACAGGGAGAAGGAACACATTTATATTCTTGGTCAGCCTAGTCGAGCCATGTCCGTCTGTATGAACGCACCAATCCCAGAAGATTTTAAGAGCTAGAGTTAGCTTGGTAGGTTAGCCTATTGTGCTTATTGAGGATAATAATAATCGATAGCTCACTCAAATTATGAGAAATCGATTTTATTATCGATTGAGGCGTATCCGTCTGTTTGTCCGCCTACCCATTGAGTTTGAGCGACTATGAGCTTGAGACATGATAAATTGATTCTCTTATGTCCGTGCATATCAAGCTTTTTAAGATCTGTCGATAATTATCGATAGTATGTTCATATCTCAGCGCAGATCGCAGGGTATCTTCTAGTCAGCTACTCCCGACTAGAGCGATCTTACGCGTTAAGCATCATTGGATTTTCTCGAATGTCTTGACGCGGACTGTTGAGGCGTGAAAGCTGATATTAATGAAATTGACCTTAGCGTGAGGCTGAGCATAAAGTTTTAATAGGTTTACCGAGTGCTTGCATATGCGAAATAATTGCTAAAGTAAACTCTTATTATATATTGTACCTTTTGCTAAAGTTTATACTATCTATCGACTGGAATTTCATTGTTAAAAGTTTAGCTTATCTTTCAATCAGCTGTCGAATACAAAGTTTTAGAAAAAAAGGCTAATAGCCCAAATGAATGCACAAATTTTGTCAACACATTTTTTTAAATTTCTTTCGAATCTTTCTCCATATATATAAATAGCCAATTATAAAATAAATTTAAAAAAAAAACCGGTTTTGCCTTATTTACGCTATGATTGTTATATAAAAACCAAAGCCAGCCGATTTTATTATTAATGGCAATGGCATCTTTATAACTTAGCCCATTAGCATTAAATATTCCACAAGTGTACCCAAAAAAAAAAAGACAAAACCTACTCATTTCAAGAATATTTTATCTTCAATTTATTTTTATCTTTTTTTACCCTCACATTGCATTCGTTTTCTTTTTGTTATGGATTTGGCATGTTGATGACCTAACAAACAGTCCGTTAAGCTCAATGTGCGCAATTTTGTATTAAAGAATTTTGAAACTCGTCTCAAAAGCAGCCCCAGCACTTACTTAAATCGACTTATAAGTTGGTTGCTTCTTCACCTTGTGACATTTTCGGCCAAGTCCCGACGCGCGTGCGAGAAACATTTCCAAAAAGTTGGCTACAAGATTAATGGACCGTTCATTGACTTCAATGTAGAAGATGCTAAGCGCATATATTTAACTAATATTTAAATTTGTCTTTTCTTTTTCTGTCGAGTTCAAGCACCTGCTTTGCAATCGCCTTATACCATAATGAGAGCCATTTCTATAGATAAATCTGTCACATTAAATCGTGGTATATTAATTCGAGTTGCCCAACAAGTTCTTAGGGCAAAAGTTTACATCACATTATGCGAATGTGTTGATTAATAATTTATTTTGTTTATTTTTATGGTGCCCCATCTACTCTTCGAGTGCTGACATAATAATCATTTTGAAAAACTGCTCAGTCAGCCAAAAGAATTGAAGAACTTTAACTAATTAGCTGTCGGCTTGTACAAAATCTTGTCTGGCATTGAAACACAATTGGTTTATGCGTATTGTCTATCATATTTCAGATTTCTGTGCGTCAATCAAGACAGTCGAAACCACAGCTCGGCCAACGGGGCGTATGCGCTTCGGTATTGTGTGTTGCGTATACGCCGCGTATGACAAGCTTGTGGCTAATTATGAGTGCATTGATTGCGCAATGTGAAAAACTCGTCTGGAAATGAGATGAAATCTAAAACACTTTTTTGTTTAACGGAATGTGCAAGTTTTGTCTCGTTCGGGTCGAAGTCGCATACATTTTTGGACTACATATTTTTCGCGCATGTTTCAGTTTATATGTTTTTTTCTTCGTTTTGGCGGATTGCACAACTGCAAAAGAAACTCTTTTGCTGGGCGAGCAGCTGGGGTGTAGGGGGCAGGCGCTGTTGTACTTGTAGATGCTGCTGCTGCTGCTGCTGCTAATTGACCTCTTTTCAGCCAAGCGGCAATTACACGGCCCTCGATTCTTTGCAGCAGTTGCTGTTTTTAAGATACAGATACAGATACAGATACATTATCCTCTGCCGCTGGTGTAGCTGGCGGGTTATTTGCAACAGATGCAAGTCAAAATGATTTACTATTTGATTTGGTTGTTGCATTTTCAAGGCAGTTGCCAGTTGCAGTTGCAGTTGCAGTCAGCCAACATCCTCGACGAGTCTCGAATGATTTATGTGCCTGGGCAAACGACAATTAGCCAATGCTGGTCATGCCGCGTATCTGCTAGATAGAGATACACATCACAATTCGGACAGAACTGGGTTATGGCATCTATTTGCCGCTGTTGCATGCTTGCGCGTTGCAAGTTGCACGTTGCACGAAATTAATAAACTCCAATCGAACGGCAATATAAAATCCAACCAACTATTTGAAAACTGCGTGTAAAACATCGATCAGTATTCGATAAACGGCGATCGGGAACTGGATTAGATTGTGCATTTGGGCCATCACGACTTGGGGCCAACTTTCAATTGGTCAACTGCACAGACAATGGCATGTAAATTGCCACAACAACAACAACAATTACAACAACAGCAACAATAACTACGGCAATTGAAATGTGGCTCATAATGAGCGACAAATACTCGTAATATCTCAAGGATTATTCAGCTTGATTTGTTGGCTCGTTGAGAACAATTAGACGCCAGCGGAACAGCGTGTTAACAATGGGCCTTAAATGTGACTGCTATTAGAGTCCCATTGTTGGAGTCCATTTTGTCGGCCTGTCGAGTGCCCTCGTCTGTGACCTTAGCGTCGCACCAGTGTTCAATTTGGGATGAAATGCCCAGCAATTTGAGTTTGAAATCGATGAATTAATGCCACGAGTAGGAAATCAAAATACTGATGACTTGCTCTTTAAGAAACCAAACAAAACACAACTGTCAATTGGTCTTGAGTGCTGCACTTTATTTAAGATCGTATCTTGAATGGCTGCGCAATATGAATGAAGGCAAAGTAATTACCTGATAATAGTAGCAGGAAAAGCTTGCTTTTCTTTTTGCTTTCAAAATTAACTTTTTTAGCAAATATTTAAAATTTATTTTAAAAGGAGATTGAGTATTTGTTGCTCTATTCTGAAGTTTTGTATTTTTGGATTACTTCAAGTTTTAATATATAAAAAACTGTTAGATTGAAAATGTTTTTTTATTTAAATGAGGCCTGAAGTCTTGTTTCTTTATTGTGAAATGCTTTACTATTGAATTATTATTTTAATTAATTTAATTTAATGATTTTATTTAAATACTTTTTACACATTTATGTGCCTCAAAGTTTGTCTTTAAAATTTGTTCAATTCTTGCAAGCTTATTCTAAGATATTCCAATTATTGGATAGCAACTAATTCCCATAAATTTCGAAAACTTAAATAATTGCTTTTTCATAAAGTTAAAGGCCTTATGAGCATTTAGCGAAGGTAAACTCCATCTCATCTACATACCATCTTTATCTTTTCCGTTTCTCAGTTATGATCCATTAAACAATAAGATTTATCACCTACTCAAGTTAACACACCCAATTTCAATATAGCCCACTTTCAGTACTTTCAGATGCGGCTATAATTCGAATTTTATTTGCCCTTATGTCTGCTTGCAGCACAATCAAATGTCAGCCCAAAGCGGGTAGGGGGCATTTGCTGACTAAAAGTTATAAATGACGACTCTTCAGTCAAAATATAAAAATATGTAAAGGCAAGAGCAAAAAAAATGATTACCCCAGGCGCAGAAACAACAATAAATTGCGTAATAAATTTTACTTCATTTTACACACTTTAATGAAGGTAAACATATTTGTAAAGACGTTGCAAAAAACCAAAAAAAATAAAAAAAAAACATATACCAGGCATTAAGTGAAACAAACCCGAAATGGCGGGTAATCAACATTTTTGGGCACACGACAATATTTTTTGCTTTATTATTTTTTTGGGTGTGTTTTCGGGCTAATGCATCAAGCGGGCTGTTGAGAAGCATTTAAGACTTTAATGTCGCTTTGTCTGCGCTGTTTACAGTCGCATTCGTATCAATTATTTGGCCATTTAAACTCATTAAGTGGATGGGAGATGGCCCCTGGAACTGGCACTGCAACTGCTCGCAATCCGTTTAAATGCTGGACACTTAAAAATCGGATAGCCTTGACACAGTTGTAGTTGGGCGGTGGCGGGAGTTGAGGGCGTAAGACCCCAGTCAAACGGTAGACAATTAATCTGTCCTTAAACAATAAAATCAAAATCAGGGAAGAGCTCAAAAAAAAAAAAATGCAAATTTACAAGCTGAAGCTCAGCTAATGATCACGTTCGCGACCCTGAGGCTGTGGCAGCAGCGGCGGCGGCGGCGGCGGCGGCGGCGGGTATCCCCGTCTTTCAGTGGGTCACCGATTTGATTGATGCGTGTCACTCGAGCGACTGACGCAGAGCGTCATGACGTCAATCAAAATGTACTGCCGACAGTCATTAAAAGCTTATGGGTGGCCAACGTGTATAGAAGAAGCGCATTTCTATAGATCAAATTGCTTTTGGCCTTACAGATTCTTTAATTAAACAGTGTGCAGTAACTGACCAAACCTGATGCTCTTTAAAATGAGTCAACAGTTCATCAGTTATATGTTTCGCCACATTTAATTTTTGAAGCTCTTGACCTTCATGTATGCAAGCACATATATGCAGACACAAGCTAAAAAGCACATAAGATTTGGTTGTTTATACAGATTGTACATGTGTTTATGGAGCTATAAGGGTATGATACCCTTTTTTAAACAGGCATCTCTGTACCTAACAGGTATATGTATATATTCCAAGTCAATAAAGCCATTCCCGTACATTCGTTTCTCAACCTGGCGCTTTTATTTTGTTCATCTTAGACGCCTTGCTGCATATTAGAAACATTAAACATTTATTTTTATAGCCCTTCTTTGCGATTTTCATGAACTAAAGTAAGCCTTACAGATTTTGTGATTGCTTACTTGAGCCGGATATACAAAAATTAATCATCTTAAACTCACTATCACCCTTTCAATACTCTCACACTGTCGTCAACTCTCTTAATAGCTCGAAAAATAGCCTTTCTATGAGATTCTCATGATTCTCATTCAAGTAAAATAATATTTCGAATATTTTGTTTTAGTATTACGAGTTACTTATGAATTGCGCATAGGGTATTTGCCAGCCGCGCACTCGCTATTAGAGCAGTTTTTACTTGTTTTCAACTTGATTTTTTGCAACTCATCTTCAAGCTGAACGTGGGCCGCCCGGCGTTTATGTAATTGCCGCCAGCTGAGCGCTCAGAGCGGCAGCCACCTGTTGGGATTGCCCAATTGCCGCGGCCCACATGTGATTACATTGATTAATTGTGCATCAATTCAATTGCAGGCACGAGCGGCGGCAGCAGCAGCAGAAACAGCAACAGTGGCAGCGGCAGCGGCAGCGGCAACAATCACTTTCAACTGGATCAGAGCGAGCTGGCGCGCCAGAATCAAATAACACAGCAGATATTTGCCAACTTTCTGGAGCGTCGCCTTTTTCCGAACCGCAGCGTTAGCCAGAAGATACCCACCATAGCGGATATTCTGCCCAAGCCAAAGCCCTCCCCACGTCCACGTCCGCGTGGCTTCTCCAGCAGCGACGGCTACAAGAAAAGCGGCGGCGGCGCCCAACGCAATCGTTTGGCAGCTGCGGCGGCGGCTTCCAAGCGGCTAACGAGCTCAACTAGCCAGCGTTTGCGCTACGAGGACGAGGAGGAGGAATTGGCGGACCAGGAGTCGCAGGCGAATAGCAATCCTCATGATGAATACGACGAGGATGTGCAGGAGTCGCTGCAGAGCGTCGAGTCAGAGCAGCACGATCAGTACTATGGCAATATTTTTCATCGCGATCCCAGCGAGAATGAAGTCGATAGCGGTAAGTGTTGGAAAACTCCGTGAATAGCAATTAATCAAACCAGCAATCGAAATCGATAGCGATTAGTGTTGGAAAACGGCCAGAAAATCATTAATCAGCGAACAATCAGTAAGATTAAGACGTCAAGCGTGGAATTGTATAAACAGAGCTGCTGCCGGGCATCTGCTCTATTTAGCTAAGGCCATTTACAATGCCGACTATCAATCAAATTTGAAATTTGGAGTAGCTGCAGCAGACGCTTTAACAATCGTATCAATATTCCAGTTAATAACCTTGCTTTTATTTTCTTAAGTAGTTGCTGTTGATGAAGCCCACATATTCGTATACTCTTAGTTTTGTCGTGGCGTATCTATATATTTGATTATAATTTTTTGCTCATGCGAAGATGCAATGGCTTTATCGTACAACTGCCCCGAGTGAGGGTATAAATATGCCCCCAAAATGTTGTTGCGTATTATTTTCTGGCAATACGCGAGTCACATATTTGCATACAAGAGCTTTTTTGTCTGTGGTAAATGTCGTTTTCACGCCGTTTCGGTTCATGGCCCACGGGGCGTATGATGTATGCGTGTTTTTTATGTCACTTGCCGCGTTTGCGTGTGCATATTTAACTTACGCCTTGTTTTCTCAGCCTATTTACGCAATTTAAGCTTGATTCGCCTTTTATTAGCACCCTCCTCCACCCTCATTTGCAATGATGACCACAATGACCAGGGCCACTGCGATCTGAAGCACTTGTACAATATTGAACTTTTAATTTATGACTAGAGTCAGTCTTGTATCTTATTTAAACTGTCAACAGAAACTTGTTTAACCGATTTGAAATGTATGTACCTTCAAATCGAAAGATTTGGCCGTTGAATTCACACCTCCCCACGCAGTAGATATCTTTCGTTTCGGTTTCGGAACTCGTTTCAATGCAGCTTATTGTTTTCTTATCCCAGATCGGAATTGCTTTTATAAGCACATGAAATTTTAGTGTTTTTCAAATTAACTGTGACAATCGCTTCAGATAACACGGACTAATAAATCTTTCTAAAGCAGCAGCGGGAATCGCTTATGTCTAGCCAGATAAGTTAGTGAAAGACATTTGCATAAGAAAGACCACATAATTAACGTATTCCTGCCAATTAAATCAACTATGGGGATAATAACTACAAATGCATAAATAAGTACAAATATGATTTGTTACAAAATAATTTGTCTAGACCAAAAAAGTCCCCGTTGCAAACACAACTTCAAAGATAGTTAGATAATAAATGTCTGCGATATCTTTGACAAACGACTGTCAAAATTGAAGAAAAATACTTCCCAGTTTAGAAACGAATATAAATAAGTTAAATAATAGTTTATTAAGATATTGAAATTAAAGACAATGCCAAAACAAAAATCTGCTCGGCAGATACAGACACGTGGAAGATGTTTAGACAATCGTTTTCCAAATTTATCAAGGACATAACAAAAAACTGCCGTTTCAAATAAAACTTGAACGATTATTAAATCATAATTTTCTGCATTATCTGTGTCTAATTATTATAAAAACTAGTCGAAAAAAATCCCCGATAATAGTTTTCTGAGAATTTTCGTTTTAAAATCAATTTTCTAAAATTCCACGATTCACGAAAAAAAATCCTCTACTTTTTGATAATAAGCGAATTATGAAGCAGTTTAAAGCTATTTTAGTCCATTTGCTAGTACACAAATAAAGTAATTCAAAATTTTGCAACACTTGAACATAAATTTGCATATAAAAAGAAAAAAACTATACACAAGCGCTTCGCTTGATCCATCAGATGTCCATCTTTCAGCATAAATCAATAAAATCAGCAAACATTTTGTCATGATTGAAGCATGTGGGCAGAAAGGTAATAAAACTGAAGGTTTGCCAAATAAATAGGCGTAGTAAAACACGTTTTTTTATAATAAGACGTTTGCAAGAATTTACGAAAATTAATTTGAAAAACTTAACAAACGATAAGCCCTCAAGCAGAGTCGATAAATACCTCACAAATTGCCTATCATTTTTAAATAAATAGACAAATGACTAATTGCTGTAATGAATTGATTAGTTATAAGAAATTTAATTATATATTATTATATTATGCGCCATCGTTTCCGACTTCTGCGGCGCATTCCATTGATTGGAATAGCCCCCCGAGTTATGCACAAATTAGATTTTTATTACAAAGAATCACAGCCCTGACTCGCTGGCCAAGTAGCAATGAACTCGTCTATTGAGCATTATGTTCGATTCGTCTCTGATCTAATTTCAATGGCAAATGCTAATCGAATCAGATACACACAAAACACAGCCAAACAGCTGGAAACGTGTTTCGCTTCGGACTCAAACCAAAGGAAAAAAACAAACAAACAAATCAAATCAAATCAAATCATTAAGAATCAGCTCAAAAGCAGCCACTTACAACAAATTACAATAGCCCAATAAATTATATTTAATTTTATTAACTTCTTGTATATGGTTAACTCTTAGGACAAGTACCCAAAGGCAATACGAAATATGCCACAGGTCAAAATACAAGTTGCAAGAAATTCCATAAGTGGCTCCCACTTCTTGACTTCGTGTATTGTCGCGATTTCGGCATTTAAAAAGGATGGTTGGGGTTCCATTTTACAGACAGTTCAAATCTTTGTGCTTTTCTAATTAATACAATCACGAGTTTTTGAATTTCTTTCGTTTCCTCTTAATACAAATATTTATTTATGGGGCTGACATTAAAGGCAAGGATTAATCAACGATCCGGTCAGAACCCGAAATTTCAGTTGCTATTTGACCATAAATAATAAATATAAAAAGATAGTCAATTTTAAATAACAATAAAAAGATACTAAGAACCAAATCTTGAAACGAAAAATATTTCCCAAAACCTGGTTCTTAAACAAAATGTTTCTTTTGATTAATTGAAATTTTTTGCTATATGTATTTATGTTTCTGCCAGAACGATATTATTTTATTCAAAATTGGAAAATAGACGACAAGCCGACAGAACCAGATTCATGAATCGCTGACATATTTTTGTTGTTATATCAAATAATTCTCAGCTGTCCAGCTTTGCTTTGCTCGAGCGCGTGCATTTTTTCTATAGCGATATTACGTATACGCACTGCAGCACCTGTCAAGGTCAGGCGAGAAACTTGGCTGGCAGCAACTGAAAATAGAAATCGAAAGCATCTGCCACAAATGGAATTGTGCGGTATGCACAGCAGAGCTCGTGTCAGATACACGAGAACACGCAATGAAATTGCAAAATCTTAGAACGTCGCCGATGTCAGAGAATTTGCAATGCGAGAGACCGCATAACCAGATATCTTGAAATGTTCGCTTTTGGTGTTCGTTTCACGCTCGAGCTCAGCTTTGTGGGCATGTCCAAATTAACGCACGCTCCACTGATGGTTACCTTGGTTCGCGTCTTCGTCTGCGGCTTCAACGTCAAGTGTTTGACAACCAAGTCAGCTGCAGGCCCCTGTCGACAGTCGCCAACAAGTGTTGTGCCGCTGTCCGTACACGCAGGGCAGCATCTCTCGACTTGGATGCTAATCTTGCCGAGCGTTTCGATTCACACCGAAAATCGAAATGGAAAAAAAGTCGAAACAAACGAGTTGCAGCTCTCTGGCCAACCAGTTGAACCGGCTCTCTCTGGCTCGCTCGGCTTCGCTGTCTCTCTTCCTCTCTCTCCCTCTCTTTCCCTCTCTCGGCTGCGCTGGGGGATTCTGCGTAAGTTGGCGCCCAAGCGCTCCAAAATTGTTAGTTCTTCGACAGCCGACGGTCAGTTTGGGCGCGCGCATGCGCACGGTATTTTCGTCTTGGTCCACATATATATAACAATATTTTGGCCTGCTCTCCAGTTGTCTGTGCGCCGTTCATATAATTTTTTTGGCAACTTTCGATTCCGTTCCACGAACCTCGACAACGATTACAACAATAATATACAAAAGCGGAACGCGTATTTAAAATTCATATGTAAATTCGTGCAGCTGCAGCAATACATAAATTTGACGAAAATGCGTTGAAAAACTCAAAACAACAGCGAAATTTTTATCTTTACGGAAGTGCAAATTTGCATAACTGGAAAAGAAATATTTGAGAAAATAATAAAATATACAAAATTATACAAAATCGAAAAACAAAATAAAATATATTCACATTCATAACAAAAATACCGAAAACTAACAAACATGCAAAAATATTTGATTTTGACTGTGATATATGCCGTGTGCTGTTTTGCGGACAGGACTCTGGCGCTGGCGAATAAAGCAGCAAGTCCTGTCGCCGGTCCTGTCGCTGGTAGGTACCCAATCCCACTTCTCACCTGGACGCCTGCTCGATTGCATAACACGCGCGTCTGGACATCCTTACGGGCAATCGTGCGGCTAGCGCATTTTTAATTTTACTTTCACTTTCCAAGCTTGGCAACAAGAAATACGTTTATTTTATATTTTTTGTTGTTTTAATTTTGATTGGAATTTACTCTTGGCATTTAATTAAGGAGATGTTTACATTTGATGTGTGTGTATTTGTGTGTTTGTGATAGGCTGGCAGCTACCGTGTTGACTTTTTTCATTGATTATTGTGCGTAGCTCCAATTTCTGTTGTTGTTTTTGTTTAAGGTTTGCTTTGGGCAATCAATGAAATTAGTCGTTGTTGCACCTGTTGTGCTTTGTTTTATTTATTTACCTTTTCTTTGAATGTGGCAGCTGTTGAAATTTTTGTCACAAAAGTTCAACCTACTACATATGCAGCGATAAGCAGGCGGCTTTTGGTCTAAAATATGATTTGCTTAAACAGAATTGAAGGCCAGGGTCAACTGGAGAAAGTAAATAGAGCAATCAGTCGCGTTTTTCGCATAAGTAAATAGGCCAAATTGGAAGCCAGAATCTGACAGAATATTGGGCAACATGGCGTATGCGCAATTTCAACGAAATAGAATAAATAAAGACTAGGTTTATTTGTTAAACTATTTAGAAACAGAAACTTTATTCTAAACAAAAAAAATTCAAGTATTACGACAGCTGATACTCAAAAAAAAAAGCAGACATAAAAGTGTTTAAAACTGGTTGCAAGAGTAAAAACTCAATAGATAACTCGTATAAATTTATACTTAACGATTCTTTTGTTCGCAACATTCGATGGAATCTTGTTAAAACGAGGCAAAAGCAGCACAAAAGTAAACGTATTTATTGTCCAGGAAGTTTGTCAAACGTCGCTCCAATCAAGTCTTTTTCAATTTTTCGTCAAATGCCAAGCATGTTTCTTGCCACCAATTTGTCTTCACATTCACTTCAAAGGATACCTTAAAACTGTTTTCTTTAAAGCCAATGCCAGATATCTGGCGATTCCTTCAGCAGCAACTGTTGAAGGTCACAGAATCCGTTTAGCCTTGCATAATTCAATTTTAATTGGCAGCACTTCAGGGCAGAAAATGTTTCAAGCATTGGCAATGACTTTGGCTGCGCCACGCCCCACGGCCAGCTGGAAGCTGAAAATTTTGTCTTAAATTTAAACTGGTTTGTCGAATCCAGATTAATTGCCTGCAAAAAAAATCGTACCATAAACAAGCAATAAATAATAAACGATAAAAACTATAATATAATAAATTTTGACGTCATTTATTAATAAACAAAAGTAATTCTTTTTAATTTGCCAAACTTTTGCTTCAAACACAGCCAAAAATGTTGGATTATAAATTAAGTTTGGCAGAAACTTAATCAATTTGCACCTTTAATTTGTTACCTGTCTCAGGCGATCTACCGCGAAGACCGGTCAGTCACTATGGGGCTTCGCGAGTCGAGATAATTAACAATGCGTGTTAAATTCGATGATGCAACTGTTCGAAAGTCAACGCTGCAGACTAAAGAAAAATGCATTTAATACCCTCTCATTGGTCGCAAAATATGTAAGGCATATATAGTACCTAATTATGTATATATCCTTGATCAGTATCTATAGCTCAATCTCATATATTTTTAACGAATCTTAGCTTTCAAGCTATCGACATGTGGCACAGGTCTGTTTTTTATGCATATGTTAGAGTCGGCTGGAACTATACCATATAGCTGCCATAGGAAGCATCAGTCAAAAAATACGTTTTTATATGAAAAAGTTGCTTATTTATAATATATCTTGACTATCCATTTATAAGCATTAATAATTTATCAGCAAAAACTAACCAATATCTGAATGCTATATAATGTATCTCCGATTGTAACAGTCTATATAGATATACCGCACATCTGCTATATGAACCAATTTAAAATGGGTTAAGCGTTAAGGGTATGCTGTTTTTGTGTAAATATATGTTACAGGCAGAAGGAAGATTCTCCAACCCTATTAGGTATATATATTCTCGATTAGCATCAATAGCCGAGTCGATGTTACCATATCCGTCTGTCTGTCAATCAATAAAAATCGATATCGAAATTCTGTTTTTGAAGCAAATCTCGTTGGGTTTAATGGTCAGACCAAATTTGACGTTAGCCTCTAGAATAATACATACAGATAAAGAATCTTACATTTTGTAACTAATGCCGTCAGGAAGGTTCAAAGTATCTCCCGATTAGAGCGCCTTTTTCTTGATGTTCCATAATGTTCTTTGAGTATTCACAAAAATACACAAAACTCAAACACTTTTCTTACTTATCTCAATTAGTTAATAATATTAAACATGTTCATTTGTTCCCAACTATTGTAGTATGTTTAAAGTAAAGAGTATTTGAATTCATAAAGCCGATTGACAAATTGTGCATAATATATAATTATTGCTATTAAAATAAATTTCAGTTTTGACGGTGCAGTCAAAATGTTTCTCAGTCATTGTAAATAGATGTAAATACTTCAATGCCGCTTCCCAGGCGAACAAATCAGCTACAACAACAACAACAACCATTATTCAGCATTATAATTATCATTAGTGACGCCTTCTGCAGGGCCTTGGCGCGTAATGGAGTCCATTCGTATGATTAATTAACAAAATTCGCGAAAATGTTTCTCAGTTGCCATATTTGGGCGTCGTTTTATCGTCTTTTGTGTGTTTGGCTAACAAAAGAAACGCCGTTAACTTGGTCAAAAGCACACACACACACAACAATGAAAGAATGCTGCCCTACACACACACACATACATCTTGTTTCCATGTATCCCCCTTGTTGCTTAATTGACCTTCACATAGTCAGAACGCAGAGTGAGCAGTCGTTGACCTTGGTTTAGTTTTATTTCATTTATAGATCTCCCCCCGAGTTGGCCAGCATATCAAAGCCATTGTCAAATATTCTGTCAACGATTCATATGAGCTCATTATGCTGCAACGGCCGGAACTGGTTCAACTAGTTTTGGAGCGAACCAGTTCTCACACTCGCACTTAGCCAGATGAACTAGCATAATTCAATTTGCAGCGAAATTCGAAATTGGAAATACGAAATGCGCATCAAGCGCAATTAGCTAAAAGGTTTTTATTCCGTACATAACTTACGGTCTGTTTAAATGTGGCCAGTTTTGTTTATGGTCAAACAGCATTTAAATGATAATCTTTATAATTTGAATGCGATTTTTATGGTTGAACTTCGTGGCAAATAATTAATCAGTTGTGAACAAACCAGAAATTCGTAACAGCAGCTATTTAGAATTAAATGAAGCCATACTAAGCTTTGTAACTGTCGTTAAGTAAGGCTTTTTTGAATCTTTGATTATAACTGTGATTGCTGTGCGTTCTTTTCCTGAGCCCCGGATCGTAACTTGTTTATTTTAAGACCATTTTATAACTGTTCAATTTTTGTATGTACATTTTTACGGCGCGACCTTGATATTTAAAGATCGTTGCCTGTAAAAATAAATATGTACAAAAATCTGTATACATGTTATTTTGTTGTTCGCTTTTCTGATATTTTATTGAAATGCTTCCTTGATGTTATTTATAGACTGCCCCAACTGTGTGGACGAGTCGCAGTACACGCCGAACAAGTGGACGATGCCGCTGCTGAAGCTGGGCGAGAAGCGCTACTACCTGGGCATCTTCTTCAAGGTAAGCTGCATTCCGCACCATCAACTTTTAACTGCAACTTTGCAATGGTTCAACGGTCCCCAGTCCGGTTCGCCATTTGCCATTAAGTTTAGCCGCCGGTTGGCAAATATGCATATGAAATTTAGCGGCAACATTTAAGACGCTTGCAACAGACAATGCAATACATTTTCTTTCAAGTGGAACAAAGTTCAATACACGATCTAAACTAAGAGCTTTAAGAGGATTTTTACTTTAATGCAACATTTGTGTATGTGTAAGTCGGCTCTGCCGAGGCAACCTTCTTGATATCATTGACTTCGGATATCTTTAGCCTCAGAACTGATATCAATGCCATTGGATCATTAAATAAATGCCCGCTACTACGACCATGATGTTCCAAGCGGCAGATTGACGTGCTTGGACACGCATCAACAGCTACGTTTATTAAATTTTTGTATAATTCATACAGCCATTCATATTAAAAACATATTAGTCAAAGGTACGAAACGCGCCCGCGACGCGTGCGTTTGCGACGCGACTCTGACGCGTTTTTTGTGTGTGCGACGCTTTGTGACGTGTAGAGACGGGTATGCAAATAACTCACAACGGTTGTGCATTCAAACAAAATCAATAAATTTTCTTCTGTGCCATAAAAAGCAGTCTCCTTGAACTTTAAAGCCACGCCAAAAGCTAATTTAATAAACTCATTTAACGGCCAGCCACTGAAATCTCGTCATATTAAATCAGAAGAGCAAATTAGTTTTAAGCTGAAATGTTCAGCAAGAAAAGAAAAGTGGAGGCGATTTATCTGTGTGAGCTTGTAGAGGAAGTTGTTTTTTTTTTTTTGTTTCTTTGGTACTTGCTGAGTTCGAAATAACAGCTGATATGTCAGTCAGTGACCGCTATAAACGACACCCAAAGGTCAGCTGTTCGGGGCGAAAGATTGATGGTGATTGATGGGCACGGTTCAAACTTTGTTCTCATGGAATTTTAAGGAATGTAAGCCAAAGATTTGGCAGCTCAATGCGACCATTAATACCAAGCAACAGGTACTTAAACAGCCACAAGCTGAATTAAACAAAACGCTCGCATTTAATTGCTAAACGATTAATTGCTTGTATAGATCAAAGTGGCACAGATAATATTGGCCACGATTAAAAGTGAGAACCCGAAAAATAGCATGAGGTAAGCGATATTTCAATTAGTCAGGATAGAATTAGTGTTAAACCAGTTCCACATGCAAATTACCCAAACATTCCCAATTTTGTAATTAAATAACTCAAGCCGAAACTCTTCAATCTGCATGATCTGATTTGAGGCTTCAGAATTTAAATGATGTCTATAAAATATATGCAGATTTTCTTAATTATTTTATTCTCATTCTATTTATTTGAAACCCCCAAAATAAAATGTTGCCAACAACTGCAAAGCGACGTCAAAAGCAACGAAAAAGTAATTAATTTTTATGTACACATTGTTTATGATAAGTGACTAGTTAGTCGCAGGGGGCTTGCGAGGAAAGAGGAGGATGGTGGGGGGCTTGGCAAATAAAACATTTCTATTGTGAGCATGCCGACAGTTAGATTGTGAATTGTATTCATTATTCGAACATTAATTAAGAGCAGGTGCCACAGCTGATTAGGTGGCGTTGTGCTGCGATACGCGAAACATGTTACCAAAAAATAAATACATAAACAAAAAACAATAAATAAAAAGAATAGAACAGAAACATTTGCTTTATAACGGTAAAACAACTCTCCGTGGAACCCATTCCTAAATCTTCTCAACTCGTGAATTAATTCAAAATATTCTCGTTTCGGAAAGTTCTTTAGAAATGTTCCATTTATTTATTGGACTATTCCCAATTAGGCATCGCTGTAAGGCCCATGAATAAATTAGCATACTTCAATCTTTGTTTCGCGTCTTACGCAATGCCATAAACATCGCTTCGTGTGTCAAAATGCAAATATGGTAATGCAAAAATAAAGAAAACAAATATTAAAATTAATTTGCCTGCGGCACGAACAGACCAAGAAAAATCATTCAGCCGTCGTCAGCAGGCGGCGGGCAACTGGCCAGTCAGCAAATGGATTCGGACCTGGGCGATGGTTTTTTTAATGCGACACTAATTGCAGTTGATTATACGATGGAGGGGCCGACGGCGGGGCAGCTGGCAATAGTCGATTGAGCAACTCCATCGGTTCCACTATTCGATGTGTTAATGACATTTACAGAATTGTCAAACATTTTGCTGCCACTTAATTGAGTTGCTGCAAATTGAATTCGGCGGCATTTGTGGAACAAGAACATTCGCTTGTTAATTAAATGCCAGCGTATGCTACAGATCATAAAATGTTCACATCTAGATGCTTTATTTAACTGTTTGTCCTGACTGACTGACTCTTGAATAACAGCTAGGGAGCTGAAATTCCACGCGCAAATGTGAAAAATTAATGGAAATCGGTTGTATGTTAATTAAAAGATCTTTGTCGAAATCGATTGTAGACGTATTTCACAATGTTTAGATCTACTTGCTATATTAAGCTAAGTGAAAAATGAGTGGAAATCGGTTATATGCATTCTTTATCCAAAAACATTGTGGACAAATTCCACAATGCTTAGATCTAAATGCTATATTAAACTGTTCGTGCTGCCTTTCTGATTCTTAAACAAGCTGCAAGAGCAAGGAAGCGGAAATTCCACGCGCGATTGTGAAAAATTAGTGGAAATCGGTTATATGCATTTTAATAGATCTTTGTCCAAATTAATTAAAGTATTTCTGTCTTCCTGGGAAATTCACCAACCTAGGGTAAAAATGTGGACTTGAGAAGTCTTGAGAAGTTCAGCAAAAATTCCGTTATCATTTGATCAGATGCAAGCTTTTCATACATGTTAGAAAATAATCAATGCGTGTTTCATAGATATAAAGAAGTGCTCAGGCCAAATAACTGTTGATTGAAACCTTGCCTTTTTATCCGATCGATTTAAAATAGTACATAGAATCCACTTAACTGGGTGTAAGTGTTGTTTAACGGTAGTCTCGTAATATAAAAACTTTCCCACGGGCGAAAAGGGGTTAAAAAAAGCGTTGTCTTGAGTTTAAAGTATGAAATAACTTCGCATGGCAAAGCCATTATTCAAAGAGCTATGCATTGTAAATTAGGTTTATATTTTTCCACGTCAGTTTTTCCTGCGAATTTCCACTCTCTCTTTTGCAACACATAATGACATAATACCCATCGAACTGTACCAACAACAACCATTCCTGCTGCCAATCCTTTCATCAACTGCTGTTGCCCACATGTGGCACATGACACGAGTTGCCCACTCGACAATCCACATTCGATTGCATGACTGATCCAGATCTTAAACGCCGTGTCAGCTGCCACATTCATATGTGCGCCCGCGCCCTCTCCAATTGTTGCCTGTGGCCTTTCACCTGGCTGCAAATCTCTGTCAACAAAAGTCGTCAGCATTTTATGTTTTATTTTGAATTATTTAACAGGCAGCAACGTGCAACGTGGCAGATCCGGCTGTTGTGGCAGCCAACACCCGCCCACGCATTGCAAATTCCGCTTACGAGCTGGCAGCCAATTAGAGATGACGTTGATGTGGCCAAAACCGTTTATGTTGGCCCATAGAAGCAGCGCGGGCTCTGGTTTAGTTTGGCCATGTGCCATGTGTTATGTGTAGCCAGTATATCAATATGTCAATAACTGCAATTTGATATTCGATTAACACTAATGGCTTTCGGTTACACCTGCTGCACCCGCACCTGGCACCGCGGCGTGTAATTAGCCAAGCCTCTGCCTGTTGATTCTGTGGCTGGGCGAACAACCTATATATTTTTTATCCAACTCCTCCTGTGTGTCCATGTGAGTGCTTTTCAACCAGCAGCTGATGCGCAACTAAATCGATTACGCAACTACCAGGTGCCGACCGCCCCCACCCCACCCTGTCTCCTGCTCGATATACACATTTGCACCCTGTGCCCCGTGTCCTGTGGCAAGCACTCGTCAGGCTTTTGCTCTGCGGTCTACCGCCCGTGTCGACATCGACGTCGTCATTAACTTTGCTTTAATTGTATTAGCCGTAATTGTGCGCGAATAAAGCGCAAACCGACGCAGCAGCATCCTGTCCTCGCGATGGCATCCTCTCTCCGCGACACACCCATGACGAGAAGAAAGTTCTCGATGTTGTTGTTGTTGTGTTGTGGCACGCTCACTGAAAGTGTTTATTGGGCTGTAAAAGGACGCTCCACTGACGCCAAGAAGTCAATTAGTTTGCCATATGAGCAAAAAAAGCACTAGCCCGTGCCTTCGCACCTGAACTTCGGAGGTGTGCTGTGGGGCAGCCTTAATGGCCTGCGACGTGTTTAAGGATTGTGTTTACCTGAACTCTGGTATGTAGGCAAATTCTTTGAAGCAGCCAAAAACGTAGGACTGCCGCGCATACCCTACACAAGCTTGGTCATATTGCTTGGGCATGTTTAAAAAAAAAAAACATTTAAAGTTTACTTTAAAATTTTATAAATAGAAATTTTATTTTACTTAACATATGTTAATAATTTTGATATCATTTTTTGCTTAAAATCTTGACTGCAAAACCAAACAAATTGTGCCTAGGCTCGGTTCAGGTCTGGAACCTAAAAGGCGCTCTAAGTTTTAGTTAGATCTCATATTTAAAAATAGGAATTTCAAGCATTTTATTGCCTTTTTTTATTAAATCTTTCATTATTATTTTGAATTGTTTTTTAATACAATTTCCTTTAAATATATATATATAAATATATAATATATATAATATATATATATATATATATATATATATATAATATTTTTCCCTTGGAAAACTAACAAGTTTTCAATATTATTTTTAAAAATTGTAAAAAAAAAACATTTGTTGCTCAAATACGAACCGATTTATCTTGGATAAAATATATAGGAATACCAAGTATATTCCTCATCTTCATAGAAATCATAGGTATAGAGGTTTATATAATCTCAAAGTTAAGAGCATATAAGCTTCGCTGCAACGCAGTAAAGTTTGCTTTCTGGCTTATAGCTTGGCACTCACAATTTTCCATTTCTTTAACTTGCAGGCAAATTGGTTCAAAGCCACACAATACTGTCGGTACCATGGCATGCACTTGGCTAGCATTTCATCACAGGAAGAGAACGATAGACTGGAGAAACACATACGCGACTTTGGTAAGTGAAGGCGCTTAAAGCAGCCGCAGAGCAGTCACGGAATGCTCTGAGAGTGGACTGCCTGCCAACATGGAGGAAGGGGGCTTTGACTTTCTAGCGTGCATAATACGCGGAAGTTGGTAACCCAAAACTTAAAATGCTGACAAAGGGAGACATGGACAACTGGCAAGCGAGGGGGTGTTTGGGGGCCGGACAATGGACTGCAAATGCGGCCAGGCATTCAATTTCGATGCACTTTCCATGGCATCCAACATAAATCTCTGGGCTGTGCAGAGCACAAAAGTGAATGTGAAATGTGGACAGACGGACAGTCGGACAGGTGGGCAGTTGGGCTGTCGAGCCACGCCCATTAGTGACTTTTAAACAGCTTAATCCAGATGAAAAGTGCGCATATAATTTATAACTCTCGCTATCTGTGGAAATCCCACTCGTTCACAGGCTTGGGTCACGAACATTTCTGGATATCTGGCACAGATCTGGCCGATGAGGGCAACTACTTTTGGATGGCCACCGGACGGCCGATTACGTTTACCAATTGGAATGCCGGCGAACCAAACAATTTCCGCTATGAGAATGGCGAGGAGGAGAACTGCCTCGAGCTGTGGAATCGCGATGGCAAAGGTCTCAAATGGAACGATTCACCCTGCAGCTTCGAGACCTACTTTGTCTGCGAGGTGCAGCCCGTCTGATGGACACATCTGCATTAACATATATAAATAAATGCTTATATATACATACATACATATATATATGTAGGACATCAAGCATACGACATGCGGCACACAAGGCAAATTATTTAGCTGGAAAAAAATGAACAAATTTAGTAGTTTTAATGTGTAGTGTATTAGTTGTTAAGTATGTGAAGGCAACTGACTTTTGCTGTGCTGTGTATGTGTTAATCTAACTTCATACGAATCCAAAATTTCAACAAAATTATTTACATAATTTAATTAATTTGGTTAAGTTCTTGTTGATGCTTAGCTAGTAAACCAATTAAATTATACGCTCGTGTAGGCATTTGTAAAAATAAACAAACAAAAAGCACCCCTTTAAATGATATATATACATATATATATATAGTACAGTGTAATGCGATTTATAATCTATAATCATTTGTGGAGTTATATGTGACATTTCCATGCGGTGCAATGGTGCGTATGAGTAACGCTCAATAATCAGATTGGCCCCAAAATGCGCGCAAATAAAATTGAAAGTGCCTGTCGACAGTCAAGCTGCTCTCTCTCTCTCTTCAGCACGCTCTCTTGCTCTACATTCCGCTCACTCTCTCTCGCTCTCTTTCTTCCTTGCTCCTAAGGATGCAGCCACCTGTCGTCTGCCAGCTTACTAAGCACAACTAATGCTGATATAAGTTATAATCATCTAAAGCTGCTTGACAAGGCGCCCAACTTTAACAAGCTGTAGAGAGGGAGAGGGACAGAGCGTGAGAGAGAGAGTGCATAAGGGAACCGTCTGTTTATCTCTCTGGTTGTCCAGCTGTTGAGCTGTCCAGCTGCACGCCGCCGGCAAGGGCTAGTCACGACCCTCTTGGGACAGACAATGCGAAAACGTGCAACGCGCCGCCTTTAAAAACTGCGGCTGTTTGTTGTTTATGCGCCCAACAGGGCTGAACAAGAAGGAGACAGAGAGAGAGCGAGTAAGACGGAATGAGAAAGAGAGCGAGAAAAGTTTCACGCATGCGTAAGAGAAAGAGCAAATTTTAAGAGCAATTGAGCTGGTAAGTCCCGGAAAGGCAAGTATCACAAAAAATTAAAAGTTAAATATATAATTTTTATTAAAGATATTTTTCAGATTATATGAAGACATCTTGAATTTAATATATATTATTAGCTATATCCCAGGGACTAAGGGTCTATAGCCTCGTCGTATTTCAACTACAGCATTAAAGTGTGGCTGTAGGAGATACTTTCCATGAAAATTTGGGCAACAAGTGCATTTAAATTTGGATTTAAAATCCGTTTAAGGCTTAATTGAAACTCTTAAAAATTCAACATGCGGTTCAGAGTCTTTTTTATTCTCTATTAATCCATTTAAATAGATTCTATATCATTCTTTACCTAACATTAATTTTAAAAATATTAAAAATAAGGGCTTATTTAAAAAAAAAAAACGGGCCAATATTTGCTCAGTTTAAGTCCAGTTAGAGAGCATGTCAGTGAGCCAACAGGTCTCTGGTTGAGCTCATGCTCTGAGTAGTACGTCCTGCTAAAGCTAAGCTAAATAGGCATAATAAGAATAACAGAAATAATAGTAATAATAATAATAATACTACAACTAATAATAGTTAATAATTTATCATTTCACAATTTACAGCACATCACCCCACTGTGCATACGCAAAGAGAACCTAAACTCATCTCTCTCTCTCTTAGCCTGTCTCTTAAATTCTCATCTCTTTGGCCAAAATAACTTACAAAAGGCATCGAGCTAACCAAAACATAGCCACAGCCATTGATACAGACAGCAACGCACGAACTCGACAACGACGACGACGACGCATTCCGTGCTCCGTGCTCTCCGTGTCCGGCGCAAGACAGCCGTTGCCGTTGCCGTAGCCGTGGCCGTAGCCGTCGCCGTCGGCAGCGACGCTGTCATCAGTTCATTGTAGAAATTTTCCCGGCACGGACGCGCGCTCCATAGGCAGGCGGAAAACAGTCGACGCAGCGAACGGAGTTTGCTTTTGGCTTTGCCACAGTTTCGGTTGAGGTTTCCACTCGATTTTCATTAGGCGACCGCAAACAGGACGCGAGCCGCAGACGTGAACGTAAACGTGGACGTGGACCCAACAAAATGTTAACCGTGCAGCACATTTAGGCGACAAACAAATGAAAAAGTGCGTAAATTATGACATTGTTTGCGGAATGTGGGCGGGCCGGAGGATGGCAGGGTGTTTATATGTGGGCGGGCGCGATTTAAAAAAGAAAAATAACAGAAAATGGAAAGGAAATCGCTTCGTTCGTGCTCTTTGTGTGGGTTTGTCGCTATTTATGTGTGCGTGTGTGTGTGTGTGTGTCGGTGTCTGTGTGGCATGTCCTGATAACATCGCAGAAAGTAAAATTAGGGCAAAATGCTTCTGCAAGCAGCAAGGAGGAGAACAAGTCAATTCGTGAGCGAGAGGACGCCCCCGTTTGTGTGTGCGACTCCTGTTTTTGGGGCCATTCCCTCCCACTCACAAAGTGTCCTCCTCATCGCAGCCTAATTAATTCAATGGGCACCGTCCTAACCCGTTCGCCACCCCCCCCCCCTCTCCAACCCACCCCACAAACTAACCCAAAAGCGGCAGCCACGCGTTTCAAAATTCAATTTCTTAACAGCACATAAATAAATCATTGCGATTTGTTCGCAATTATTTTGAAATCATTTGCAAAGTGCAAAATAAAAATAAATTAAAATATATATTTAAATACGCAGCTAGAACTTAGATACCAGCTACAGAGAGAAAGATACAAATGCAAACAGACAATCCGACGCGTTTGTTTCGTTGACTTTTTAAAAATACATTTTCCACATTTTCATTGCCAAGCAAAATCGTCGCAAATAAAATGTGTAGGGCGAAAGCACTCTCAAAAAAAAAACAAATTAAATAACATGAAAATCAAAATGAGAACGAAACGTGAATGAAATGAAAAATGAAAAACTGTCGTTGTGTGAAATGTGAAATATGCCAAATTGCGTAGAATATATATATATGCCCTGAACGTTATGCGACATTTAATTAAAAGCTCACATTTAATGGACAAACAAAAGGCGCATATTTAAAGGTCATCCAACTGACCGTCATTTTGGAAAATTTGTTGCCGGTCAACCAATTAAATGCCCCACCCCGCCTCCCAGGCACTGCACAGCAAAATTGAGGACTCTGTCTGTAATTAGGCAGACCAAAATGCTAATTTGGAAATATTTCTTAAATTTATACACATACCTTAAATAGAAGTAAATGCTCACAAAGGAATTGGAACAAAAATTCTAATATAATAATTCTAATATAAAATTCTAATATATATATATAATACTATTATATATTATCCTAGCTATTTTTGTAAGTTGCATCAAGCGATTGTAGCCAGAATTTATCCCTCACTTTACCTCTAAAACTTTTATTTGTGGAATAATTTTCATCAGCTCTAGCTGCTTTTTAAGCTTGATTTACACATTGGCCATATTTTTTAGCTTCTTCTCTTTCTTTGGAAAACATTTATCAGCCTAAGATTTAAGGACCTCAACCTATCCTAACTTGTTGTTTAGTGTAATTTAGCAATGTGTTGACACAGCCACCTCCCAAACCCCCCCCCCCCCCCCCCCTCCTCTAGCACCTATGTTAGCGCCCGCCTACCGTGTGAGTCACATGTAGCTGTCATGCTCGCCGTCGTCGTCATCGTCGTCGTTCCGTTGTCCACTCGACGTCATGTTCGGCCCACAACAAACATGACATTCTACGGTTCTTTTATGCTTGCCACATGTCACGGCAAAGTTAACTGCCACACAAACCACAAGCACGCCCCAACCCCTGCCTCGGCCCACAAAAAGGCCACGGCCAGACGCAAACAGGCCGGCCAACCATGGGTTAAGCATATTATATTATGTTGTATTTTTATGCGCATCCATCCAAATCCATGACAGCCGGTGAAATATGGCGATGACATGGACAACTTGCAATTATGCAAAAAGGGGGGCCATGGTGGCCGGCGGGCGGGCTGGCCAAAGGTCAGGGCAGTTCGAACCTGAATTCGAACCGTCAATCAATGGAAATTGAAATTGGCTGCGACAAAATGCATGACTAATTTAATGTTAAATTGCGCGCAGCTCACAGAAAGAGGCTGCTCCTTGGAAAGAGAAAGAGGAATCCCAAGCGACACACAGACAGGGGAAGGACATCTCATAATGGAAACATGAGCAGAAGTAGCGCCCCCTTCCCACACCCCCACACGGCACTCGGGCGTAGAACTAGCGACTCTTTTATTGCCGCCACTTGAGCCAATATTTGCACATTTCAACAATGTTGCCTTTTTTGCATACATGTGTGTGCGTGTGCTTGTGTGGGCGTGCCCCGCCCTCAACTATCAGGCGGCACTCAGCACTCATGCATGCACAAATGTAATGAAATATCCCGTTGCCATTATAAGCCCCCGTCCCGTCTCTATAGACACACGGCCCTATATAGATGTCAGGTAGCATAAAAAGTCGCAATTCAATTTTGTGCCCCGTTCCGGCCTTACGGTCTGCTGCCAATTCAAGTTGCACCTCCATCCCAAGCTGGCACAGCCCCGTTCTGCCCCGAGCCAGGTGCGCACAATGCCAACTTGTCGTGCTTTGTCACGATAGGGTTGCGAGAGTGGGTTAAGCAGGGACTCAAGTGCACCCATAATATGTCCTGTTCGGTGAGGCATCTAATTAAGTCTTACCACGCGTAACTTGTTTAGCTGGGAGTTACAATGCCTTAAGATCTGCTAGTTTGGCTTTTTATGGAGTTAGCCTTATCTAAATCTATTTTGGTCAGCGCCTGTCAACTATTCAAAATTCAATTAAGCTTTTTGCTATTCATAATTTAAATAATTTAATGGCTCACTGAGTTAAGACTTTAATGCTTTTTGAAATAGGTTCAAAATAACAAGACGAAATTAACAATGTTATATTTACGCTATACTTTATAGGTCTTGCCCCAACCTTGAACCTATAATTTCCTTGGGAAAACTAATCTTAACTTATATAAAAACTGTTTCCACAACTTGAACCTTTCATACCCAACCTGCAAACCCAAACAAATGATCGATTGTTCGGTTCACGGCCTAAATCCATTTCCTCTCTTGAGTTACGATTCGTGAAGCTAGTTTCCCTGTTATATTTTATTTCTTCTCCACCCAAAATTGATAACTGCTGAAAATGGTTAGATATGGATAGACATTTTGACTCTGTCTCTCTTAATATAATAAGTTTCCTGGTTGATTTTCGTTTTATGGACAATTGGTTTGGTTCAAACCTCACCCAACAGTTAAAAGTTATTTGGAATTTCGGGTTCGAACCAGCTCGGTTCAAGCCCGACTTGCAGCCCAGTTTAATGCTCCTTAGAGCTGGCATTTCTTTAGACCTTAGTTTAAGCAAACAATTTCCTTTAGAGAAAAACTAAAGTCACTTTTAAAAATGTCTCTTTCTGCAACTCACGTCGCATCTGTCCTGCAGCATCTCCATGGCTCAATTCATAAATAAGTTACAATTTCCCTCACATATGAAGTTCGCAAAGTTCTAGCTACTTCCGCTCCAACTCCAATCCCCTCTCCCGTTGCCCGGCTGACCACGTGACTAGACGCTTTCCGGGCTGGTAATGCGACACGCTCGCCGACGTTTGCCCATTCCCGGCCTGCACTCGGTCTGGTTCCCATGCCTGATTTCATTTGGTAGCTGTTGTTCCTCTAGTTGTTCTTGTTGTTGTTGCTGCCACACTTGAGTTTTTGTGTTTGTTGTTGTTGCATTGTTCTTGCTTTGGCCTCTTTAGACAGCGCGCACGTGAGCCTTGGCGCCGAGTTACCCCCTGGCATGGCCGTAAGCACGCGATGCACTTGGCCAAGACGTGCGGCACAACCCTTTGGCTGCCCCGACAGCTGCAACTGTTGGCAATTTTCATTGTGCATAAACAGCACAGGGCGGAGGAGGGGTGTTTGCGCCGGTGAGAAGTGGAGGGTGGGGCACAAGGAAATTATTTTCATGCTCACGGACGGCGGCACTTGAGGGCATTCTTTATGACATGCCTGGGAAAATGTCTGAGCTGGCGCATACAAAATGCAAAAAGCTTTGGATAAATTTCTGGCTTTTTATTAAATAATTTAAAGCGATTCCATTTGATCTCTGCTACAGCCAAAGCTAGAGAGGGAGAACGAGAGAGATGGGGAGGGGAAGATGGACAGTTGAAATGTCTGCCGCAGCTTTGATACAAAATTGTCTATTTCCTGTTTGTCTGGCTGGGCCCCCCGTTGGCATGGCAAGAAGTTGCAGTGAAATCGAAAAAGAGGACTACAACAAAATAAAAATAACAAGCTAAGTTGACAAAACTGTCTCAAATTACCTGAGCAGCTGAGAAGGGAACCCAAAAAATAAATAAAATAAAACAGATTTTCTAATGTTGCCAAGTTTACCAGGAAAAGCTATAGGAAATCCATGAACTTGACAAATTGAATGCTGCTGAAAATGATGCAAAAATATAAGATATACAAAATTCAACACCCCTCTCTCTCTCTCTTTCTCTCCCTCTCTATCTCTCTCTCTGCCGTCGATACTTTGATCTTGCTTTTGGTTATGTTAGCAGATTTTCAATCAAACAATATGTAAACAATTTTCCATTAAAATGATTAGACTTGACTGGCAGACGAATCTATGAAAATTTTAATTAAAATAACAATAAAAAAAATTGGAAATTTAATTGAATTTATAGCCGAGAGCTTTTGGTTAGCCTGTTCGGAAATGGGCCGACGCACAGAATTAAATTGAAATATGAACACGAAAGCTATTCATTTATCACGAGCCCATCGACGACAAGGACGAGGATGACCTTAGACATTAACACATTCACACACAGCAGCTCTGGGTGTGCGTGTGTGTGTATGTGTGGGTGAGCCTTCATGGCACTAGTTTTCAAGAGAAAAAAAGAAGAAACTCTGAGAGAATAAAGAAAACAAACGTGCCACAAAACGAGGCAATGGACCGACTCTTATCAGCATCTAGGGCCCACACTCACGAGCCTCTGCCATTGACGGGCCGTACGTAGACGCAACACACACCCACACCCACGCCCCAGCCCACGCCCCCGCCCAGGCCTTGCCACGCAGGACTCGGGTGGGGGCGACCAGACAGAAAAAAAGGCGATAATTTCGGGGCGCACGAAACGTGAGCGAAAGACAGAGAAAGTTGCGGCAGCTGTCGAGACACAGTGGATAAATGAGTGGCACGATGATGGCCATGGCCATTTCGGCGCTCGATTCCGTGCCACTCCGTGAGGCATTAGGTATAATCATTATCACGATAAGCACGAACGGTTTGAGTTTTCCCCTTTTATTGGGGGCGGGGGTCGTTGTCATCGACAGGACATTAGAAAAATCCGCGCCAGTCTCTATCTTCCACTGCATTCAATGTCTTTGGCATGATTCTCATTATCATCAACATCATGTCCGTTGCCATTATCATAATCATTATCATTGTTGATTCGCATTCAAGTGCAGAGTCCTTTGTCCTAGTTGAGTCGTACTGGTCCGCTGAGTTCCTGTTGTATCTTTGTGGCAAAGTGTTTTGTTTTGTTCCATTGATTCAAGTGGTTTTTTTATGTGTACTTGATGGGAACTAAGTGTTTAAGCAGAGCGAGTATACTTACATTCGGCTGAAAGTTGTGGATATGGTAGGAAACGACAGTTGAAGTTGCCGAAAACATGTATACAAAAGAACGAACTTAATATTTGATTAGATGCCACTCGTTGTCCAATTAAAAAGTTTGCAAATCACTTCAAACTATCAACTTTATAGGCTTTGTGGCCAACTTACTTGCCCCAAAATCCACATTTCGTTGGGGCCGCTCTGTTAAGCCTCTAAAAAGTATTCAATTGTTGGGCAAAATGCTTACACAAATCCCAAAACTCAACTTAAAAATTGCCGCTGCCCATTACAAAGTGCAGGATGAGCTTTTAAAAAGTTTCCCCATTGTCCCTGCTGTCTTATTATGCCCTGCACTCATGTACGATGTGTAAGAAGGGTGTTTCAGTTTTTGTTCAACATTATGAAGCAGGCGGAAGGAGGCTTCCCCAAGACCAAGCCAGGACAACTATCTGAGTTAATGTCTGTCCTAAGAGCACTTAAATATGGAGACTGCATTTAAAAAGTTGGCTCTCTTTTACTTTAGTCCCTTGGGAGTTGCTAAGCTTTGTACAGGGTATCTCTAATTCGATCACTTTCAGTCAGTGCACACTTGTATTTTATATAATGTTGCTGCGTGTATTTTGTTATGGTTCTTCCTGCTCTTTTCTGCTCGCATGAAACTTTAGTTGACCCAGTTCCAAAGTTTATGCACATTTCCCATCCAACGCAGACAACGCTGCGTATGGGTAATGTTTGCTTTGAGCTCGAGCTAAAAGCTAAAAATGTCATCTGAAAGAGCAAAGCATGCGCCACGCTCAACACACAACATTGACAAAACTTTCGACTCGCAACAAATTTGCTTTTAATTTAGCAACTCGGCGAAATCCGAAAATTCGCATTCCATAAACTTGGCATTAAATTTCATATGCATGTTGAGTAAATATTAAGCGACATTTGTAAGGGCTGGCATAGGCTTGTGTGGGCCTGGGGGGCATGGCTTGTGCCTAATGAGAAAATAAATCAAAATTGTGCAACTAGGCTGCGAATGCGTCTAAGGATATGCCGTCATCACTTTTACTCGTCAGACGGCTTTTTGCTAATTCAGCCATTTGCCGTCAGCCGAAAACTGTTGTAATTTGCCTACAATTTTGGCTATTTTAAACCGGATTAATATATTTTTAGCAGTTTTAAAGCGGCTGCTGTAACTGCTTCAGCTTCTTTTAGCTATTTTTAAAATAAGTTGTAGCTACATTTTTTTAAAGCGACAGTTGGCAACACTGGTCAGGTGCTGCAGCTGCTGCTTCTTCTTCCTTTGCATACTCTTCTTCATGCTCTGCTGTTAATACACTTCATTTTAGAAAATGGCGCAGTCTGGTTAACCCACATTGACAAAGGGGCTGGCCAGCACACACACACACACACAGATAGCATTTAACCGGTGCCTCTTTCATCAACGTCTTTTACCATTGTGTCAACAAGCGAGGGCAGCCTGTGACCCACTGCGAGAGAGAGAGAGAGTAAATGAGAGAGAGTGAAAGAGAGTGAGAGAGCGAGAGAGATAGAGTAAGTAAAGCAGGCAGAACAACTGACTGCGGCATTAACTGCAGCACATTAATGTTATTGTGGGCGTCGCTGCGTGGGTTTTGCGCTTGACTGACAACAAGAGCCACCACAACAATAACAAAAACAACAACCAGTAATAACAGCAAGCCGAAGTTTACATACCCTGCAGACAGATATAGCAGCCGATTAGTCCCACAGCAGCTATATGATATAGTAGTAATACGTTGTTGACAGTCCCAATCGGATATGTGAGGCAAATAGTGAAGCTTGTAAGGGCTGAGGTTCATTCTACCTATCGTCCCAATGGTACAGGAGTCCAATTCTGGTAAGATAAGGAAAATATGTTTTATCTAGATATCTAAGTCAACAAAAAAGGTTGTTATATAACTCGAATTTCTACCGTTTCTTCCTATCGAGCTGTATGATATAAAAAAGGCTTTGTAGGCATGTTGCTCGCATAGTAAAACTGATTAATGCCCAGTTTAGTTCAGATATTTTAAGAACAGCTCAGTTATCAACACGAAAACTTAATTATTGTCAGATGATTCCTAGGGTAGCTATATGATATATGGGTCCAATGTTAATTCGATTTTGCGCATGTGTGGGTAGCTTAGTCAAACCAGTTTATGCCAAGTTTGGTCTAGATTTCGGGAAAGACAAAAGCTTTCTAAGCAAGAACTTAATTTTAAACCGGTGATTCCTATAACTAATTAATGATCCAATTCGGCCGACTCCGATAACTGTTACAAAAGGAACCCAATAAAATGTTAGCCAGATAGCTTTATATACGGAATATTATAGACAGGCTATATCAACTGTGATGTTGTTTCTAATCGCACATATAATATATTTCAATTTTATGGGGTTGGAGAAGTCTCCTTCTGTGTGTCACACATAACGTGCAAAAAATTGTAACACCCTCTGTTAGGGCAAAAAAAACACGAGAGAAGCTTTTGTTGTTTGGACGATTAAAAGTTTTATCCGTCGTTGTCGTCGGGGTTTTTGTCTTCCTTCGCTTTTGGCCTCATTCTTGTGACACCGTCGCGGGGTTCCCATTTCCCTGTTGTTGTTGTTGTTGCAGCTGCTGCTGTTCACTGTGGCTGACCTGCTAACCTCAGCCGCTGGCAGTTTGACTGACAACCCCCCCGACCACCCACCCAGCGAATCCCACTTGGCACAGTTTCTGCACAATTACGAGCCAATCAATTGCTCAAGCTGCCAATAGTGTGCAATATATATTGGGAGCGCGGTTTGTGCAACCTAATCGAACTTGGCTCGCAACTGCCCCTGAGTCCAGTGCCAACTAATTCTCGTATTCTCATTCTCAAATTCTCTGTCACACTTTTCAGCAGCTGCGCTCGCACCCGCAACCCAGCAACGGCAGGCCACAGTCCAACAGACTGAATGACAACCTGAGCCGCAGTCGTCCAGGAGACTGCCACTGGGCCACAGAGTAGCTGGAGCAGCAGGAACAGCAGCGACAGTAGCCATGGGTGATCTTCAGGCAACCATCGAATTTTCCGTTGAGCTGCACAAGTTCTTCAATGTGGATCTCTTTCAACGCGGGTAAGTGGCGGATTAAGAAAATAACAATTTCAAGTTAAATTAGAAAAATCTAGATTCTGGGGTTAAAATGATTTAAGAATCTCAGCCAAGAAAATGTTAGGTGGTTCGGTTCACGACGCAAACGAACTTGAACCATTGTCGTGGCTCTAACTTTGTATTTTTATATATTTTCAATTTTTCAAAATAAATTTCAAGAAATATATTGCATTAGTTTTACATGCCCGTTGTACTGAAAATATGGCAAATCGTGCATTTTTTCATATACAAGATTCGGGCTAAAGTAGATTTCCAACCAAAATTGGCATCTTTCAAATATGGTTAGATTGTTGCGATAGTTGGGGCCCAAGCTATTTATGCTTTTGGGCTAAGCCCCATGCATTTGAACTAAATTCAATAAATATAAATATATATTTATCTCTATATATAAAACTGTTTGTCCTGACTGCCTGACTGACTGACTGACTGACTGACTGACTGACTGACTGACTGATTGGTGATCAACGCACAGCCCAAACCGTAAGAGCTAGGAAGCTGAAATTTTCACTGTAGCTACCTTATGTGATGTAGGTGTACGTTAAGACGGGAAATTCCACCCGCAAGTGTAGCAAAATCGCGAAAAACGTTTGTATGTAACTTTTTTTTTTACCATCCGATCGGCCTCAAACTTATTTTCAAAGATCTTTGTTCAAATTCATTTAAGGGGTGTTTCACACTTTTCGAAAAATACGTTCCTCCTTGGTGGAAATGGAGGTCAAATATTTGGTGGGTGACGTTTTGTGTTCAAATTCATTTCCAGAGATCTATAAGAAAAATCATTTGATATGTGTTTCACACTTTTCGCAGAATTCAAACTTCTTCGGGGGGAATGCGATTTAAAGATTTTTTGGGCGAAGTTTTAAATTGTGTCCGATTTGCTTCAAACTTATTTTCAAAGCTTTAAATAAGAACTTAATAAATACGTATTTCAGCGATTTGGGAAATTCCACCCGCAACAGTGGTAAATTGGCGGTAAACGGTTTTATGAAAGTTTTTGTTTACCATCCGATCGGCCCCAAACTCATTTTCAAAGATCTATATTCAAATTCATTTGAGGGGTGTTTCAGACTTTTTGAAAAATCCATCCCTCCTTTGTGCAAATGGGGGTCGAAGATTTGGTGGATGACGTTTTGTGTTCAAATTTATTTCCAAAGATCTATAAGAAAAATCATTTGAGACGTGTTTCACATTTTTCGCAAAATCTAAACTCCTTCGGTGGAAAATGCATTTCAAAGTTTTTTTTGGTGAATTTTAAGTTTGTTTGATTCCCGTCCGATCAGTTTCAAAATCATTTTCAAAGCTATTTGAAAACATTGATTTTATAACATACGTGCCACGGGCAAGGCCGGGTTATACCCGCTAGTATAAATATATATTTATATATTATAATAGGTTTAAGTTTGATTCACAATAAACATAATAGGAATTTGGGATTCGAAACGGTTCAGATTAAAAACAGCTTGTAGATTCAATTTAAGGAATATAAACTTGCGATTCTATATCTTCTAACATGAAATTTAGTTTAGTTTTGGCAGTGAATAGTTTAGAAAGAAGTACTTAGAATATGGACTGGATTCCTATGAAAACATTTTCTGCAACTTTTATCCCAAAATATAATACAATTTGGATGCTAAATATATATAAAGGGATTTCTCAGAAATTTATTGCATTTATTGCACAAGGAACGTTTGAACAGCGAATGAAAAGACTTTGAAGAACATTTTCTTAAGGCAATAAAATATATACATTTGCGATTTCTAGTCAATAAAGTAATGTGGAGCATAAATAATAGCTTAGCAGCTTAAAATACCTGAAAGAATTCTGTGTAATTTTATATATAAATGCATTTTGTAATGTTAAATGTTGCAGTAGACCTAAAAACTCGCACATATGTTGGCAAGTACGCCAAATATCTTGAGCAAAACTGGGTCAATGTTCATATATATATATATTACGCGGAAAAGCTATGAGTGCGATTCATTTATTTCACACGAATCCGTAATATAAAAGTGTATATGCAATACACCTGTAAAAACGAGAAATAAGTTGTTAGCTTCTGCTCGAAGCTTTAAAAGATTACACAGAAACAGGAAACTTACGCCCTCGAAGTGTTGGGCAAACAAAACGGAACGGAACGCAATGCAATAAGAAAAACAAGTATAAATATTTCAGTCGGGTGCAACCGACTGCGAAATACACGTTCACAGCCCAAGTCAGTTAAAATTTGTGGAGCCATTTTTAGAGGCAAATTAAGAAGTTTTTTTTAGATTTTCTTATTGTAGGGTATACATTTTTATGAGAGTATGAACAGTCGGACAAAGCCAATATACTCTCTTCACTGTCCAAGCGTGTATGCCAATACAAATATAAGAAAAATAAACAAATAAAGGTTGCACAGGCAATCAACAGTGGGCGTGGCATTGCAGTAACCGTAGCACTCACTAATTGTCAGCAATGTGTTTATGCGATTTCATGCAGTTGTTTTTGTTGTTGCTGTTGTTGTTGTATTGGTTTTTTGTGCTGCTGTTGACGGCAGCCCTTGAAGATGAACGAGCGGCCGACAGAGCATACAGAGGGGGGGGCAGGTGGGGGGCGGCCACTGCCGGGCAGCTCGAGTGTTAAAAATACATGAAAAAGAAAGAAGCTCGCATGAAATTTGCGCAAAAACATAAACAATTCCACAGAGAGAAAGAGAGAGATGTCGGGAGTAAAAAAGAGAGAAGAAGAAATAAAACTGAATAAATTTAAAACAATTGTGTGCTGCGATTTTTTAATGATGGCACAAATAATGTGTGTGCGAGCTTTAAATATGTGAATATTTAAACAAATGAAATAATTATTATGTAAATTGAGCGAGAATTTAAAAAATAATAGCTGTAGTTTACCAAACGGTGCACAAAATAAACATTAATAAAGCTTTGTTTAAGCATATTTGCAGGCGTTGCACGCTGCGTATGCGTAATTTATGTGCAAGTCGTTATCAATTGATGATTAATATGGCCCGCGCCTCTCTCTCCAATCCCCCTTTCTCTCCCTCTCTCTCTCTCTTATATATTGCAGACTCTACCAGGTGCGCTGCGGCCTACGCGTTTCGCCACGCCTACCCGTCCAGGTGGAGACAAGCATACCCGAGTCGAACAACAGCAAACCGAATGGAACCAACGGACACGGCGCCGGCTCCATTGAGCCAGCCAGCGATAGCGAGCGTGAACATGAACTGGCCTCGCCGGTGGATGCTGCCACAGTGCCGGGCATCGGCAGCTGCACATCCGCGTCCATAATCAATGGCAGCGGCGCTTCGCGGATATTCCAGATACTCTATCGCAACGAGGAGGTGCCGCTGCGCGATGTCATACACTTTCGCAGTCATCTGTTGGGTGAGTAGACGACCAAAATAATCTGCACTTTGGGCACATGCGGCATGTGGCACGAGTGCCAAGACGCAACTGCCGCATTCCTGGCGGGCGGCACAGTTGGCGCCCCGTCGAGCCACAAAAGTTGAAATCAAAGTTAAAGTTTGCTACTCAATTCGATATATAAATCAAATGCTCGACGCTGCACGAACTTTTTGGCTCCGTCGCGTGTCAACAGGGCAGAAGTTTGGCGCTCTGGGAAATGGGAAATGCGACTGTCCAAAATGTTGACCAAAAAAGTTCCTGAAACAGCTTCAAATAGCTGAATCAGTTTAAAATTAGTCACGATTGTAAATAGCCAAAAGTTAGCTAGAAAATAATTCAGCAACACTGCTGTGCAGCTATATATAGGTTACTTTATAGTTGCCACAAGTATATAGATGAGGTTATAGCTAGAACTTCAATTTGGCATCGGCTCTCTAATTGCATTTAATGCATTCCAATAGAGCCACGCCCACCTAAGAGGCATGAGGCACGCACACACACGCACACACACGCACACACACACACGCACTCGAAGGCAATTAGCTGGCCAAGTTGGCAGCCCTTTGAAATAAGTTTTCATCCTCTTTCGTTACTTTGTTGCCTCTAAATTGAATTTGCGCCAAAGGACACAAAGGACTTGCCCGCTGCATTGACCTGATTTGAAGGCATTTGCAAGCTCAGGCCCAACAATAGTTCGAGCATCAAAGGCATAAAAAACACAGATAAGCATATGAAAAAATAGAAGAGAAGCGCAGAGAAGAGCAGAGAAGAAAAACGCAAACAGACAATATGAAAATGGCATAAAAAGTTAACCAGGCGCAAAAATGGAAAACAAATTGAAAGTCAATTTCGTGGGTCGCATGGCAGGCGCGCAGGGCGTCGCCGAAGGCGCTCATAAATGGGGGCATGGCAATAAAAAAGAAAAATAATAATAAATAAATATAAAAAATACAGAAACAACAACAACAAACGCTGCCAAAATGTTTTGTTCGCCATTCTACGGCAAGAAAATAAAAATAAATACGCCACAAGTAGAACCCATTTGCATGAATATAGATATTTATATATATTTATATATATTTATGCATTCGTTTTTATGCGCATTGTGTAATAAAAACTAGAAGCGAAAATTTCAATTTTAGACACCAATTTATTTAAAGTATTTAAATAGATCTTAAATAGCAAGGAACTTAAGTTAAAGATTGTTTATATTTAATTTTAATGTGGCTATTTATGGATCGATTATAATTAAACACATTTCTTTTGAAGTCCTATATCTGTATATTGCTTTTTCGACACGGCTCGGCACTAGCGTAAGATTCTTAGCACTTATTTAAACTGCATCTTCCGAAATTAATTAGAATATATTACTTTATTTTCAATAGATTAATGCCTGCCCATAACCGTCTGACCATCTTCTTTCGGCGCTAGCGTGTACTAGTATTCTTAATAAGTAGTTTTTCAAAATCAATATTCCGACCTTTTGGACATGAACTATAGTATATTCAACTAGATTCTAAATGGATTATTATTTCTATAATAACTTTTTTCCAATCAGTTGTGCTCTAAGCATCTCCTTTCGGCACTAGCGTGGTCCTAAATTCTTAGCAATACTTTCAAAATAATCTTCTGACATTTTGGACATGGGTTAATATATGTACAAGTTGATTCTTAATAGATTATTATATGCATATTAACTTAGTTCCAATCAGGTATACTCTTAGTTCCTTCTTTCGGCGCTAGAGTAAACTAAAATTCTTAACCATACTTATAAAACTAGATTCTAATTGGAAATTATGTGTATATTAACTTAGTATCAATCAGTTGTGCTCTTAGCATCTCCTTTCGACACTAGCGTTAACTACAAGTCTTTTACTTTAAACATTTTCAAGTCAATCCTTTAAATAGTTTCTTTTGACAGTTCAGAGAGGCCATTTGAAATAAATACTTACTGATGAGAGGCACGCACAAATGAAAATTTATGTGATATGCTTTTATGCCTGGCATATAAAAGCTTAATATATTATCAAGGTACGCCTTAGTGATTATATTATGTATTTCAATCTTGTTACCGGCCCCCTGGCTCAGCCCCCCGGCTACCTCTTTCACATAGCTGGCTGATGAGCACTTGCCAGACTTCATCAGATACCCGAGCTTCTCGGGGCTGCCTCTTCGATGTGTTGGGCTCATGTTCATCGACAAGCTGTTGTTGTTGGGCAACATCATCCACTCGGCTGTTGGGTAAAGTGATTAATTCATTTGGACAAGTTTTGCTGGCTTGTGATGGGTCCTTCTATAAACACAACAGCCAGGAGCTTGTCAAATGGCAGCAACAAAAAGAAAATAAAGAAATAACCGCAGGAAAACAAAAAAGTTGCTTTTACTTGACAGCTTTTTGTTTTAGTTGATGTGGATATGTTTCTAGGGTGCCTAAGCAGAGCTCCCATACACAGGAAGGCTGCTTCGAGTAGCTATGCAATTTATCTCTTTTACACGTGTCTCGACGCACAGGTGTACGCTGCTGCAACTGCAGCGTGTGGCAAATTGTCACGGGCAACAGTATAAAGCAGCATGATAAACTATGCCACAAAAGTTGCTAGGGGATTTGCCACGCACTCAGCTCAAAGAGCTCAGCGTTTAAAAAAAAAATGACGGCAGAATGAAATAAATGCTGAATAAAAAGCAAACTAAAAATAACGAAAAGAACACAAACAAAAAGCTGTCAGGCAATTGTCACACGAGGCGTATGAGCAATGCCCAAGGAGGCCAACCAAATCTCAGACAGCCAGCAGTAGGTGGCGCGTGCTGGTGAAGGGGAGGGGGGGAGGGGGTGTCGGGAGCTTAGAGAGAACTTTTCTTTTATTGCCTTTGAATGCGACTGAAGTCAGACTTGGCTTTAGCTTTAGCCGCGCAAATCCCCATTTTATGAAAACAAATGAATTTTATGCCACACACAGAAGAGTTTGATGCACGTACAGCTTGAGGCTAAGGTGTGTGTGTGTGTGTGTATTGGCCAACATATAGCTGGCCAGAAAGACGCATTGACGTGTGAAGTGAATTGAATTTGATTAAATGACAGCAAGGATATGGACTGTGGCCAGCTAAAGCTGAACTCAGTGTATTAGTAACGAGATTTACGCTTAGTTTCTGTTAATACCTTGATGAATTTATGAGTCAAGTACACATATACACACACACACACATATATATATATATAGCTGCGGCAGCATATTGATTAGCTTACCTGCCACAACATTAACTGTGTTAACACACTCGAAGCTCGTTTGTGGCCAAGCCACACGATGGCCTAAGCGAAAACCGATAATCAATGTTAATGGAGCATCGGGCATATCTGGTGCCCGGTAGTGGGAACTAACCCTAATCGAATGTGGGAGCAGAAGCACTTGAAATAAAGCAAGAACTGCAAATGCCACAACTAGTTATTATGCACGGAAAAGGTCAAATGAGCATCATGTTTTTGTGCAAATGTATGTAACAGCCAGAAGAAATCGTCTCTTACGGAATGAGGTAATATGTATTCCTGATAAGGTTGATGATCTGAGTCGATGTAGTCATGTCACTCTGTCTGTCTGAGTGAAATATTTGAAAATATATATGTTCATATACCATACGCATCTGTCATCCTTTTCGATACAAACTCCCATTTTCATCATATCGATAAATATCGATTTATTAGACTTAGTTTTTAAACATAATTTGAAGATGTTAAAAGTTAGTTACACCAAACTTGATTTGTGGATGAAAACATATTAAAAATATATCATTTTTTAGATACTCCCGTTTATTTTAATTATTTTAAAGGGTTAAGCCTTGCGCTTTCATATAAACACACTTTTGTATGCCTTAATTAAGCTCTGAAAATGTCATAAAAATCGGACTATAAAGACCGAACTTCTTCAAGATCAAATAATGTGGGTTGTGCATGTGTATGTGTGTGCTTTTGTGTAGGTATGTATGTACAGAAGGTAGCTAGATTGAGGGTTGCGTTGCTAGGTTCAGGGTAATTGCTAGTCGGGCCCACTCGACTAGAGCACACTTACATATTTGAGCTGGGGATTTGGTGCTAGAGTTGAACATATGACAACATTAAGTTAAACCTCCCTTTCTCTCCCTCTCTCTCTCTTACTATCTATTTCTGTCTTGCTTGCAGTTGACAGCCGTCACCTGAAGGAGTCCATCGAACGAGCTGAGTTCTCATTGCAGCTGGAACTGTGGTTTGGCGAACAGAACGGCACCAGCCAGTTGACGTTGGCCTCCACACGCAACCTGCAGCTCAATTTTCATCCGGGACGCGGTCTGCATTATCATCTACCCGTGCTGTTCGACTACTTCCACTTGGCGGCCATCAGTGTGGGCATTCATGCCAGTCTTGTGGCCCTCCATCAGCCATATATCAAGTGAGTGCAGCAGCAGCAGCAGCAGCAGGGGGCGGGGCACCCTGTGTGTCTGGGCAGGCATGCAAAGTAGAGTTGACAACATGATCTCTAATGTCAATGTTGATAGTCATATATATATATATTTTATCCTTCTTTGGCCTGATGTCCTGCGTGTCCTGCTGCGCTTGATTGGAGCAGCAGCAGCAGCCGCAGCGCCTGCTTCTGGGCCAGTTACCCGCACAAATCATTTCCAACTCATTAAAATTGCACACAACACAACGTCTTACCCCGCTGTCTGGACGGGCAACAGTATTATACAAAAGCAGCCCCGGCTCCTGCTCCTATTCCAGCACCTGTTCCTGCTCCTGCTCCTACTCGTGCTCCTTTTCCAGTTCTGGTTTTGTGTGCATACATTTTAATGACTCTCGTATTTCAATTGTCTTCCTCTTCTCGACCGACGGACAAACTTGGCGACAACTGCAACAACAGCAGACTGCAGCATTTGGGCGGCATTCATGGCAGGGGCGTGGCATCGCAGCGACTGCTGCCAGCCAACAACTTACTCCAGCCTTGGCGCAGTCAATTTTTACGCCGTTTGATTCAGCAAAAGTTTGTATATGCCACGCCCACCCACTCCTTATATGCCCCCTCTCTCTCTCATAACTTGAGCTCGACAGCTGTGGCCAAAGTTTTTAGTGCAACACACTCTTTAAACTGTATTTTGTATCGCTCGAAAAATAAACTTTGTGTCCCCCACCTGGCATATAAATAGGCCCAAGTCTTGCCAAATTTATTAATACGAATCGTAAAATCAGTGAAGCAGCGAGCTTGGAGCAAATGAATAATAGATTAGCCCATTGGAATTGAAATTCCTTGTTGACCTTGGCCCCTGTCTGCTGTGAATTCTGATGTTGATTACATTTCATCGCTCACCTCCCGGCTGGGAGCTGTAAATTGCCTGATTATCCACCTCCGAAACTGAAAAAGAGAATTTAAGAAAAGCCAGCTTAAAAGTATTAAAGTTATTTTAACTTTAAGCTAAAAGTAGCTTGATTTTGGCAGCTGCTCTTTTCAAACGATTTCTCCCACTTTATAGTTTGTCCCTTTAGATAATTTAGATTTTAAGACCATTTAGTTTTTAAATCAAAAGTGAATACCAAGATTGCAAACCCAAATTTACCGAACTTTGAATCGAATCCAAATTAACTTGGCTGAAGGAAAAAACTTTATTTTGTTCTACATTTAGAAATTTTTTAAATTACGAAGTAATATATTCCCATTAAATTCTGAGCTCCTTAGCTCTTAAAGAAATTTAGATCCCAAGATGTAGTCTGTCCTTTTTTGGTAGAATATATTTTACTTAAAAACAATAAGTTGGTTGATATGTTCTAATTTTTTTTTTTACATTAAAATTCTCAATATGTTATGAATCAAAGCTCGAACCTAGATTGACTCGAACGGGGAATATTTGTGTGTGCAATTCTTGGTAGATGCCCGAAATGTAGAAAGAAAGCATTTTTGTTATTGTTTTAACTTCAATTCACCACATTTATTTCATATTTTAATCTCAACATGTAACCCAATCGAAAACCAAATCAATATCGTATATAACCCCATACAAAATATATACTATATACAATCTAACGAATGGAACAACTTTTACAAACACGACTACAAAAACGTATCTGGGTTCCGGTACAGGAAAAGCATATTCTCATTTATAAAGTTATGGTAAGATTCAAGAAACGTATCGGTATCTCTCTACTTTCATCCACTCGTAGTTGGTGTAGTCGCCAGTTTTGCAGCGCTTTCTATGTGTGCGTGTATGTGTGTGTGGGTTCAGTTCATGAACCGACTGTAGTTCTTTTTGCCATAGAATGAACCAGTTTTGATCGCAGTTGCCCTTTTTTGCAGCGCGCCACGCAGCTCGAAGCCCTGGAGCGCAGGGAAGCTGAGCTGCCGTGGGAACACCTCACCGGGCCCACTGGAGGCGGTCTTCTTTGGGCCACAGATTGGCGGCACCACCAAATGCAGCGGTGGGCCCACCGGCCGTCTGCTGCAGTCCCGCCAGATCCATCGGGACATCTGCTGCCTGCTCCTCGGCGCCATCGAGCAACTGAAGGCGACCCTCAACGAGTTCAGCACCGTGCTGCCGCCCAGCATCAATTCACAGATTGGCTCACCGCCGCTGAGGGAGAACGACACGGGGGAGCGTCTGCAGCAGCTGTTGGAACAGGCCAAGGTAAGTGGGATAAGCAACCAGGTGTATCTGGTTAAATTAAACATTTCTTTTTTAGCTGCTTGAGGCGGAGGATGACTTCGCCACGCTGGCCAACTCGGACATAGCGCAGCTGTGCGCGGAGAACATCTTCTGGTGGCGACGAGTGCTGCTCGCCTCCCGCTCCTCGACGGCGGTGCACACCCTGCTCGCCCGCAAGCACCACATCTTGCGGGTGCGCCGCTTTGCCGAGGGCTTCTTTGTACTGGAACAGCCGCGTCATGCGGCCGCCGGCTGCCTGGAGGTCAACAGCAGTCCGGGTCATTGTCAGGGCTATGCGGGCATTGCGGAGCTGGCCAGACGCAGTCGCTATCTGCAGTCGCTGCCGCCGCTGCCCGTCCACTGCACGCCCATTGATGGGGATGCGGCGTCGCTGCCGCTGATATTTGAGGATCGGTATGTGGTGCCGGGTGCCAGCTATGTGAGGCGTCGCTCCGGCAGTGATCCGCAGCTGGAGGAGACAACTGCGGCGGGCAAGAAGAAGACACCCGATAAGACGCACTCGAGCAGCAGTCTGAACGGCACCAAGGATTGCCTGGCCTGTCACTTCGACTACGACTATCCGCCGAGCAACGGCAACGGCCCGGCCCATCCGCATGCCAAATGCGTGGTCACGCCCCGTTTTGCGCTGGGCGGCGAGGTGCTGCAGGCCAGCCTGACCATAGCGCCCAGCAACAAGGAGGCACAGCCAATTGCCCTGCGTCACAATCTGTCCAGGCACTCGGTCACCGGCTTGCTGGAGGATCTGGATACCGAGGGCAATGAGCCCACGTTGCCAACCACACGGCACAGCAAGTCGCTGGATCAGCTGGATGGCTGCCAGACCACCACCGAGACGCACGTGCTGGAGCCCGCCTGCAATGGACGCCAGGTGAGCTACAACACGCTGCCCGCGGGTTTGGCCCGACTCCAGGCGGACGACCTGATGCGCAACATCTGCGAGTTCCGGCAGCGCTACGGGAATGCCAGCAAATTTGACTACTTGCACGAGATCAAGCTGCTCAATCCGCCCAAGCAGCAGCAGCAGCTGCAGCCACAGTCTGTGGGTAGTGGCGCCTACAATTCGTTGCCCAAGAGCATGTTGCCGCCACGCAACTCCTATCCACCGCCGCCGCCCAGCCAGTACACGACCATGCCGAGGAGCAGCAGCTCCCAGATACCCAGAGCCGTGGAGATAGCTCGAGTGCGTGTATCGGACATCAAGGAGATGCTGCGCCAGGGTCAGGCGGCGGGCACGCTGCGCAAGGAGTCCAGCAGCTCGGAGAGCGACATGATGCAAAAGCTCCAGCTGCTCAGCTCGAGCAGTGTGCCCTTCCGGCTGGACGCCACAACGACAATGAACAGCAACAACAATACGAACAGCAGCGATCCGAATACGAGCGGATTCAGCGAATCGCTGCCTAATTTGGCACCGCCGCCAGAATTCGACTCGGATGCGTGCAGACAGCGCAGCAATTCGACCTCCTCGCTGAGCGAGGAGAGCGGCTGGGTCAGCAGCCGGCGCAGCTCGTTGGCCATATCCAGTCCGGATACAATCACCAGCACCGGGCAGCATCAGAAGCATCAGCGGCAAACGCAGCTCAACCTGGGCATGGGCATGGGCCTGGAGACGCGTCTAAATGGCGAGCAACTGCGTCTGCGGCTCCAAAAGCTGCTGGAGCAGCAGCAGCAGCCGCAAAAGCAAACCAGAAAGCGCCAGTCGGCTGGTTCCAGCCAGAGCCGCACGCCCGCACGACAACAGCAGGAGAAGGAGAAGGAGCTGCACAAGAAGATCTCATCCGTGACCGTGACAATCAGGAAGGAACGTTCACGTTTCCAACTGGATCGGCTGCGTCAGCTGCCCAATGGCGAGTCCACCGAGGTGGAGGACTTGGAGCGTCCACCGCCGCGGCGCAGCCGGCACAGAGGTGGCACCGCCGCCGCCAAGTGCGAGAAGTCTAAGTCCGACTTTGATATAACCAGCTTGAAGGATATGCAGCCGCTGGATGCCGTATGCCTGCCGCCGCCGCAGCAGTTTCAGGATCAGGAGCAGGACCAGGTGGTTGCACCACCGCCACCCGATGAGTTTCGCGACCCGCCACCGGAACCGGCATCCGCTCCAGCTGCAGCTCCGATGCCAGTGCCGGCTGCCCTGCCACTAGCCATTCCAGCGCCGCCAGCCGTGCCCAAGTCCAAGGCCAAGTCGATGCCCTGCCATGTGCTGCATGCGCCACCGGCATCGGCTCTCAAAGAACGCCAGCCCATCGGAGCCATTGACAATCCAGTGTACCACATCTACGAGTCGCTGCGTCCCATGTCCACGCCAGCGATCTTCAGCAACAAGCCGGTTCTGAAATCCCACAGCCTGGCGGAGCTCAAGCGACCACCGCAGCATCAATGCCAGGAGAATGGCCTGGATGCGGAACCGGACGAGAACAAGGAGAATGCCAATGGTCAAGTTGTGGGGCGTGGCAAGCAATCAATCGGCTCCGTCGCCAAGCACAAGCGCAAGAGTCCGCCGGCCGGCCAGGAGGCCAGTCCGAGCATTTCGCTGCTGGAGTTTGAGAAGTGCCGCGAGGAGTTCCGCAAGCAGGTCAAGTACCAGGGCAACATCTACTCCGACTATGTGCAGCTGGCCTCGGAGCTGCCCTATTTCTACATCAGCGATGAGTATCGCGCCTTCTCGCCAAATGGCATGCACCTAGTCATCTGTGTGCACGGACTGGATGGCAATTCGGCGGATCTGCGTCTGGTGCGCACCTATCTGGAGCTGGGTCTGCCCGGCGTCAATCTCGAGTTTCTCATGTCCGAGCGCAACCAGGGCGATACCTTCTCCGACTTTGATACCATGACTGATCGGTAAGTCCAATAATTGGATGACCCACTGACCAGGCCAAATTGATTTTCGGTTTTCCCTGCAGGCTGGTGGCCGAGATCCTTTACCATATCGACAGCTGCGGCTTGAACCCGGCTCGCATCTCGTTCGTGGCCCATTCCCTGGGCACCATCATAGTGCGCAGCGCCCTGGCGCGTCCACAGATGCGCCCCCTGCTGCCGCGCCTGCACACGTTCCTCTCGCTCTCCGGTCCACATCTGGGCACGCTCTACAATACCAGCGGCCTGGTCAATATGGGTAAGTGAGCCCCTGGCTAATCCTAGACCAGATTATTGTATTTCCGCTTCCGTCAGGCATGTGGTTCATGCAAAAGTGGAAGAAGTCCGGCTCCCTGCTGCAGCTGTGCATGCGCGACACCACAGACATGCGCAACAGCTTCCTCTACAGGCTGAGCCAGCGGAGCACCTTGCACCACTTTAGCAACATTCTACTGTGCGGCTCCAGCCAGGATCGCTATGTGCCCGCGCACTCGGCGCGCCTGGAGCTGTGCAAGGCCGCCATGCGAGATACCTCCTCCTTGGGCACAATCTACAGGTATTTTTTTTTAAATTCGGTTCGTGTACCCGCTAAATCACATACACGAACCCACGACCAAATCAGTTTTAATACATGTAACGACCTAATCAAAATTCTGGGTTCGAACCAGTTTGTGGTTCAAACCTGGTTTGCTTTATGTACGACAATGCCAGTTAACAGATTTATTTGATTTATCTGATTTATTCCTGCAGGGAAATGGTTCACAATGTCATTGCGCCCATCCTGGCCCGGCCGGAACTGACGCTCGCCCGGTTCGATGTACACCACGCCCTGCCACATACGGCCAACACGCTGATCGGAAGAGCTGCCCACATTGCGGTATAAAGAAATTTCATTAAAAATAACTCTACCTACTCAGATTTCTCTCTCATCTAGGTGCTGGACTCGGAGCTGTTCATCGAAAAGTTTATGTTGATTGCGGGCCTGAAGTACTTTAGTTAACATGGCTAATACAAAACCGGACTAGACTTATCAACGGGATAGATTCTGATTCTAGTAAAGTACTCGTATTTTAATGTTATTTAATATGTAACACTAGGTTCGATTCGGTTCGAAACACACACACAGGGTACAATACCGTTTGACTACTTTATCCAAGCAAGAACCAGTTTCTTCAGCCAACAAATTTCAGCTGCAATTCAGTTGGAATAAGGAATTTATTGAAGCAAATTGTTAGACTTGAAATTTTTTACCAAATCAAATCTTTTGTAGAGAATGGATTACTAGTAAATACACACACGAAAGGAATCATCAATTAATCAAAAGAAAAAACGAACGTTTAATCAAAAAACTATAACCAAAGCGGCATAACTGTTGAAAACGTATTATCGATAATTATCGATTATTACATTTTTATAGATAATAGAGTTGAAAACTTGATGCACACAAAAGCAAAACGAAAGCCAAAGACATCCATCATAAGTAGCATAGAACTAAGCTAAAAACTATTTACGAGACTTTATGAAACGGTTGAATTGGATAATTGGAATTAAGCCAGTGGAAAAACTGAAGAGATCATGTTAAGTATACGTAACTAACGGTAGCTGAGCACACGATAACAAGGTTGCATTTCGATAAATATGTATTAGCAATTGTGAGACTAATTAAAACACAAGAACAAGTGGTTTTTTCCAAATCTTTGTACTGCTAAAAAGCAACTATGGTAGAGAGAATTAGAGAGTAGCGTTAATAGACATTTTTAGAGTTGAGTAGAGTTAATGCATTTGTGGAGCGTGCGTCAATTAAGATGGATATTATATAGGGAACGTGTGCAAGCGTCTTGTGGGCGGACATTTGTTTAGCGCAAATATGAATTTGTTATTGGGAACAACAAAAGTGTTAGTAAATGAATCGTAAATGTAGAGGAGAGCAGTTAGGTCAACTTGAAAATTTGTAGTCTAGTCGTAGCCGTTTGTCTACATACATACATAGTTATGTGTTTTCTGAGCTTTTTCAAATTGTTGTTGTGAACCATTTAGCTTACCAATTCAACTTTTCTTGTATAACACTTTTTGAAATCTACCCTTCATGCCTATACATACCAGAAGTTGCATTCTATGTATATAACCGTCCTAAATCTTAAACTATGTACATCAGCTTGCCAAACAAAATGATTTTAAATACATGTTTTATGCATAGCACTTAAGAAATTTGTGAGCTGTTTCTTTAGGCACTTCGATTTTTACTAAATGTACCCAAACATATTGTGCCCTCAGTTGCAACTTAAGTGTTCTTTCATTTCAATAAAATATACTAAAATTGAATTTTAGTAAAATTCTAGTTGTCTGGTGAATTTGTTATTCAAATTAATGAATTTCTTAAAGATGGATTTTATCAATATATCAATTATTGATTCAAAATAGGTAAAAATGTGTTAAGTTGGGCAATAGCGTGAAAATGTCCGTAATAATGGTGTATGTCTACATGTATGTGTGAATGTATATGAATGTATGTGTGTATGTACGAATGTATGTATGTATGTATGTATGTATGTAAGTATGTATGTATGTGTGTGTACGTAAGTATACATAAATGTTTTCTTTAACTTAAAACAGTCTAAGTTTCATACCACTGCCCAGCGCCTTTAAATTAAAAGAATTTCTAAGTGCCCTCCTCCTCGATTCTCAAAAATTTAAGCAGGCCCTGCTGAAATTCAACAAGTCAGTCAGTTGGCTCCAGCGGTCGGTGGAGGAGCAACCAGGAGGCGGTGGACCAGGGAGGTGGGGCGGGTAAGTAGGTATGTATGTACGTAGATGTATGTAGATGTATGTAGATGTATGTAGATGTATGTAGATGTATGTAGATGTATGTAGATGTATGTAGATGTATGTATGTAGGTGTATGTAGGTGTATGTATGTAGGTGTATGTATGAAGGTGTATGTATATATGTATATATGAATGTATGTATGTATATATGTATGTATGTATGTATGTATGTATGTATATATGTATATATGTATGTATATATGTATGTATGTATGTATGTATGTATGTATGTATGTATGTATGTATGTATGTATGTGTGTATGTATGTATGTATGTATGTATGTATGTATGTATGTATGTACATATGTATGTATGTATGTATGTATGTATGTATGTATGTATGTATGTATGTATGTATGTATGTATGTATGTATGTATGTTTGTATGTTTGTATGTTTGTATGTATGTATGTATGTATGTATGTATGTATGTATGTATGTATGTATGTATGTATGTATGTACACGTACAGAACTCTCTTTGTTCAAATGCGTGCCAAGATTACATCAAGCTGCGCTGCCAATGCAAATTGAATGACCAGTTATATTGGCACATTTTTTAAAATTGCCACCAAAACTATTCGATGTCGAAACTTATCGTTTCGTTAATGCAAGTATTTTATGAAAGTATCGTTCATAAACATATCGATATATTTGTGCGATAATCCTGGTATCAGCTGTTTCTCTGCAATCGAGTGGCTGCTTTGACAGTAAATAAATTCTTCGCCCAAAATCGAGTCGGACAGTAGTAAAAAATACATCACAGCAATCAAGATTGTGTAAAAGCCACGCCCAACGATGGCGAACCGTGCGCCCATGCTGCGAATCGGGCAGCAAGATCTAAAGTGCCGACAGGGCTGCGGCTTCTACGGCAACACACAGTTCGATGGACTCTGCTCGAAATGTTTTCGCGAGCGCAACGATAAGCAGCGGAAAAAGCGTAAGCAGGCTGCTGTGATTTATCTATTCGCAGCACTTAGTCATGTTTGTAATTCCCATTGTCCACAGAGAGAGCCAGCGAGGATCATGAAGCGTTGAACACTGGCGCCAGTTCTGCCGGCGGAACCATGGAGCGCAAGTCGCCGCAGCATTCGCTCTCGCTGGGACGTGCCAAAACCAAGAAGCAACCCGACAAAGAGCAGCCACACAGCGAGACACCAACGGCCAGCACAATGCCCAGGAAGAAGTTCACTGTGCCCGCTGTGCTGCAAAAGACATTGAAAAATAAATTGGTAGTCCCACAACAGCCGCGTGTGCCAAGTGCCACCGAGAAGCAGTTTATGCTGCAGCTGCGTCAGCTGCGCATACCGGACGATGCTAAGCGGAAGCTGAAAAGCGAAATCCAGCGACTAGACCACGAGATACGCAAATACATGAACAACAACAGTACCAAAAATGTGGATGAGCTGTCCGATCTCGTGCAGAATGCCTACACCAGAGTCGCGGATATTGTACACAACGATCAACGCTTCGAGATTGCCACCAACGAGGATCGCGATAGTGCCATAGACTTCTACGAGAAAGTTGTGATGACACAGAATCACAAGTGAGTCATCAACCATTCAATGCCACTGCCATCTCTCATCTTATCTTTGCATGTAGTCTCCTATTTAGTCCGTACTTCACCACAGACGAAGAGAGCGATATAAAGGTCCAAAAGCGCATACGACAATTGAGCTGGATAACGGCCAAGCATCTAGACTGCAGCATTGATGAGGTCAATGCGGAGGCGCGTGATTTGGTCTACAATGCCATATCGGAACTGGTGGGGATCGACTCCTACTATTCTCCGCAGGAGAAGCTGCTCTGCACGGTGCGTTGCTGTCGTCACATTTTTGAGCTATTGAAGCGTTCCACGGGCGGACCGGCCAGTGCAGATGACTTCCTGCCGGCGCTTATCTTTGTGGTGCTCAAAGCGAATCCCGTCCGTCTGCACAGCAACCTGAACTTTGTCAATCGTTTCACAAACGCCTCGCGTGTCATGAGCGGCGAGGGTGGCTACTATTTCACCAATCTCTGCTCGGCCATTGCCTTCATTGAGAATCTTAATGGTGAGAGTCTGAGCATTGGCGCCGAGGAGTTCGATGCTTTGATGTCTGGCGAACAGACTTACAGCACACCATGGGAGAGCGCCCTGTTGGCCTGCGAGAGCCTGCATCTAATATCTGAGAATATGAAATGCATGGAACAGCTTCAGAAACGTAACTCGGTTATTAGCACGGGCATTAAAGACTTTGAGCGCGAGCTAATTGAGTTCCAGCGCGAGGTGACTGAGAAGGTGGACACGGTAATGGCCAAGGCGCCGCTAACACTGCTGCCCATTAAAACGCCGCCGTTTCTTATAAGCCAGGCGCGCGCCCATTTGGCACAGGATGGCGTAGAAGCCGCTGCTGGCCACTACCAGTCAAATCTAGTCAGTGGTGGGCTAGGTCAGCACCAGTTGACAGCTAAGGGTAAGGAAAAGGAACTCGCTACGCAGGAGAATTCGTACTTGGAAGCGGCGCATACCTTGGCACTCAAGGGCACCAGTATTGGCTCTGTGGGACGCCTGTCACCGCTGCATCAGAATCTGCCGCAACCAGATCAGCTCTTTGCCTCGCCCATATTCAATTACACACCCTTTGATGCAGTCTCGCTGCTGGAGGAATCATCCGAAAATGGGGACGTGTTGATGCTAGGCTCGGAATTCCAGGGTGGATTGACAAACATCAACTACGACTTCGATTTGTCTGATCAAAGCGGCGAGAACAGCGTCGCAGATGAGTCCAAATTGAATCTTGATGAATTTGATCCGCTTGTGCAGCAGCGACAGCACATCGTACATACCGTTCCGAGCAGCGCGGCTGAGCTCAGCCTGCTGGACACCACAACGGACAGTTTAATAGACAGCGATGTGCCGCTCGCAGGTGTACTCTTGCCATCCCCACTCAAGCCGGAGGTGGCCAATTATCGTGGGTTCTCCAATTTTGATATTCCAAGCATTTCCTGCAACACCGGGGACTTCAGTTCGCTCAACCAGGACGTCAACGATCCTGGTGTGCCAGCTCCAAGCAACAAATAAATGTACTCGCCGCTCGTGCCCACTTGTAAATAGCGTTGGATTTTAATTGCACATATTTATTTAAGGACTTTATTTAATAAACTTAAAACTATTGACGATTTCCAAATATCAGCAGGATAACATTTGCGGAATCATTTGGCAAATATGGAGCCTACGGCACTGACAACGATCTTGCTCTTCTCATTTTTAGTGAGGATCTCGTAGTGATAGCTCCCTTCGATCAACGCATCATTTTTGCCGGCATCGAAGGTGGGCCTTATTGGTGCCAGATCAACATTGAAGCAATTGATCATAAAGGTGTCGTTCTTGAGCAGATCGCACATCTCATACGCGCTGGCGATCTTCTCATGCCAGATGCTAACCGAACCGTAGGCGAGCGTCTCCTGCAAAATGACCTGGATAGCATCTTTGGGTGTGCGGAATGTGTGCATAGTGATGATGCCCGTTGGTCCATCGCCCAAAAATTTGTGAGCTATGTCACAGACCAGCATTGGCGAGGCATGTGCTGGCACCGTCTTCGGATTGCCGACAATTGTTTCCGACCTGAGCTGCTGCAGCTTGGCCCGTGAGCGCACATAATTGGGATGATTATAAATTTTCGGATCGAGCGGCTTCAATTGGTCCACCAAAAGCTTTATAACAGGCTCACGCACGCTCTCCTGGATGAATAGTGTGGCCACCGCATGCTCGGCGAATGGATTTTGCAGTGAGGCCAGAAGATGATGCATGGCCTTTTTTATATCGCCACCATCGAACAGTATCATGAGACTGGGGGAATTCCAATCGGATTCCAACTGCTGCTGTGTCTCCTCCAGCTTCCCCGTTGACTTCGGCTCGCCGGCACCCATCGAATTAGCCGATGTTGAAGACGTCACTTTTCGCGTTTTGGCACGCTGATCCTCTTTAGGATTTCCGGGCATGATGCCGAATGAGGAAGATTTTTTATATGAAATTCCAGTCAAGTAGTATCGATACGCAGTCGATAAATTCTTCCAATCAGAATTCAAAAACTATCGTTTGTGAACATCGATACTTTAGGCGTCGTTTGATGAATTAGTTCTAACTCGAATTACTTTTGTTTGAATACTCAAAGCGAGCAGACGTCGCACCGCTTAGCAAAATGAATACTGGAACCATTCTACTTGTTGCTGCCGCTGCGATAAGCTTGGCCGCCGCTTCTAGCATACCGGCGGCCGGTGAACTGCCGCACAATCCGCTGGAGCACGACTCGCTGAATGCCAAGCATTTCGATGGAGGCGAGCACAATTCCCAGTTTGATCACGAAGCCTTTTTGGGCGCTGATGAAGCCAAAAAGTACGATGAACTCTCGCCGGAAGAGAGTAAGCGACGCCTCGGCTTGATTGTGGATCGCATTGATGAAGATAAGGATGGTTTCATAACGCTGGCTGAGCTCAAAGCCTGGATTCAGTACACGCAGCGGCGCTACATCGACGAAGATGTAGGTCGGCTGTGGCGTCAGCACAATCCGGATAACGAGACAACGATTAGTTGGGAAACGTATCGCAACTCCATTTATGGTTTTATGGATGCACTGGAGAAGGAGGAACTGGAGCAGGAGGAGCATGGTAAGCGGATAGAGCTGATTTAATGATTCTCGAAAGTAATACGAATCCTTGGCAGGTATCTCTTACAAGAGCATGCTGAAACGAGATCGCCGTCGTTGGGCTGTGGCCGATCAGGATCTAGACGATAAATTGACACGCGAGGAGTTTACAGCCTTTTTGCATCCTGAGGAACATCCGACTATGCGTGATGTAGTACTGCTGGAGACCACCGAGGATTTGGACAAGGACAAGGATGGCAAAATCTCTGTAGACGAATACATTGGCGACATGTACCGCCCCTCGACGCCGAATGAGGATGAACCCGAATGGGTGCTTAGCGAACGTGAAGCATTTTCCAAGCATCGCGACCTGGACCAAGATGGCTACTTGACCGAGGCGGAAATACGCCAATGGATAGTGCCAAATGACTTTGATCATGCCGAGAGCGAGGCCAAGCATTTGATATTCGAGGCCGACGAGGATAACGATGAGAAGCTAACCAAAGCCGAAGTGCTCGACAAATACGATGTATTCGTAGGCTCCCAAGCCACGGACTTTGGCGAGGCTCTGGCACGCCATGACGAGTTCTAAGATCAAAGAGAGAGATTAAAGCAACTACAAGTCTCTAGATTATAAGTTACAACTCCCAACTTGAATGCCAAATACCTTGTAATACATTTAGTCATGTAAGCCCAACTCTGCAAGTGCATTATAACAGACTTAACGCTATAGAATAACCCAACCAGTTCATGTTCAATTGGTTTGATTTCAGCTTTAATTGATATGCATCCCAAAACATACACGTCAGCCAGACGCACAGCCTCTTGATGATTGGTCCGGTCCATGGGGTTGCGCATTCATAATTTCCCTCTTGCTTATATGGACACGTCATGGGCAGACAACCGGCCACAGATACACCACATGCACACACACTCACACACACACTGTACACACATGCAAGGCGCGTCCGCCTCTATATAACATAAACATAAAACGCTTTTGTTGTTGCGCCGCTGTGCCCGATTAATTTCCAGCTGCGAGAACATTCCAACAAAAACAAATCTCCGACGACCCGACGCTTGAAGCTGATTTCATTCTTTCCTTTTTTTTTTGGTTTTCAATTTGTATTCAATTTTTTCGCTGTGATAAGCTTTTTGTCAACGTTGAAATTGAAAACCAAAGCAGACCTGTTGAGGTCGCTGGAAATTGCTAATGCCTATATATACATATTCATATAAACAAGTATATATATATATATATATATATATAAATATATGTGTACATGCAGGGCACATATGGCTCGCCATTGCGGGTACTCAAGATTGTGTGTATTGAAATTTTTTGTATGCTTTATTTGACTTCCATTGACACATTTATGTATATGTATGTTTATAATTTGATGCGTTTTCGAATATTTAAAATACAAAGTATTCAAAATGTTTCAAATATTTTGTTTTCTGTGTTTCTTTGTGTATTTTAAATCAGTACATGTACATAGTATACGAAGGACATTATCTTATTATGTATGGTAGCTCCTGGTTTTAGCAATTAAAAACGTTCTTAATTTTCATTTAGTTTCCACAATATGGAAATCTGTTGCTGGTTGATGCCATTAGGAAGCGCATCTCATACATGAATCTGTTCTTTATTTTTATTTAATATACGTTTATGTATTTGTTTAGCTGCAATTCTGCCTAATTCTTTGCCTTTACCTAGCTTCCTTTGATACTTGGCAACAGTTTCAATCAACATCTAAATACAATGTGTGTTTGTGTGTGTTTTCATTATAATGTAATTGTTTGTTTGTTTTTGTTGTCTTGCATTTTGCAGTGGAACGTTTACTGGCTGCTGCACTGCATCATCTTTCAACTTTCACCTACTTTAAGAGGCCAAACATTTCTTTATGCTGTTGCGTCTACTCAGCTCTCTTTTCAATACAATTTTCACTCTATTTAGTTTTTTTGTTTTTTGTTTTTTTTTTTGGTTTTACAACATTAATTTTAATTAACTTTTAGTTCAAATTAATGCACATGTTTGAAATTAGTTCAAATCGAAAGCATAAACAAACAAAAAAACACACGAAACGAAACGACTTAGTTGTACAATTAAGGACGTGTAACAGAACAAGAAAAGTTAGTAGAAAATTCGGTTTTCCCCTCCGTTTTTTGAGTGGGCAAGTTTCAACAAAGCAGAAAATACATCGTGTGGCAGGCTGACCAGGTCCGGAGTATGCCGGATCCTGGACTCCTCTCAAATCAACTCGCTAGTTGCTGCTGCTTATGTTACATAATTGTTATTTAGTTAATAATATTACGTTATTAAATAGACTTGACGACAAATACAAATACAATGCTTCGTGGGTGTTCTTGTTGCGTGTTTGTGTGTGTGAGTGTATTGTGTGTGTGTGTGTGTGTGTTTGTGCATCTTAAAATTAGAGCAGAGCGCATTTGCGCTTGGATTTGGGCTGCAGAACGGGACAGAGCACCGATCTAATAGCCTCATCGAAGACGGTCTTTAGGCCCTTTTGCGTTAGCGCCGAGCACTCCAAATATTTAACAGCCCCAATCTCCTTGGCCATGGCCAGACCCTGTGGGTATGTGATCGGCGCCAGTTTCTTGTCGCGCAGCTTCTCAATCGTATTCTTATCGTCGCGCAAATCCAGCTTGGTGCCCACCAAAATGATGGGCGTGCTGGGGCAATGATGGCGCACCTCCGGATACCATTTGGCTCGCACGTTCTCAAACGAGGCCGGATTGACCAGAGAGAAGCAAATGAGAAAGACATCGGTCTGTGGATACGATAATGGACGCAAACGATCATAATCCTCCTGACCGGCCGTATCCCACAGCCCCAAATTGATGGGCTTCGCATCGACCATCACATTCGCGGAGTAGTTGTCAAATACGGTGGGTATGTATTCGCCGGGAAACGCATTTGTCGTGTAGCTGATGAGCAGGCACGTCTTACCCACAGCACCGTCACCCACGACGACACACTTAATCGCCTGCATATTTGTTGCGTTTGCTGCTGCTGCTGCTGTTGCTGCTTTGTGTGATTGTGCGGCTGTTGTAGTTGGTGTTGTTGTCTTGGTTAGGGTGGTGGTGGTGTTGTTGTTGCCGTTGGGCGAGGGCTGGGTCTGTTGCTGCTGCTGCTGCTGTCGACGCTGTGGCTCTTCGTCGGCTCCTTAAAACGGCGACTCGGCCTGCAATCTGAACTAGTTTAATAGCTAGCGAGCTGTCCAGGAGTCGCGGTTTGGGTCGTTTTCGTTCTTATTGCGTTAACAAAGCGCGTTTTGTGCGTTTTTTCAGCAAAAAATAATTTTCTGTGTACTGAGATACCGTATCGATATAATAACCCATCGATAACTTGAGGGAAACTATAATACTAGCTATCGATGTTACCGATGTCAATTTGAGCTGTCAATATCGATAGTTTTGGCATTTTTTCAAATACATAATGGTATTCCATTATTTGATTTTGATTAAAAGACAGTTAAAAAACTATAGTTAATTATTGTGCTACGTATAAACTAGCTTTTCATAACAAAACAAATTCATTGGTTAATAGTACAATCTATTTAATACATTTTAATACATAGCAATATCGAATTTATGCAATAAAAAATGGTTTTAACTAGAAAGAGAAGTATGCGAAGCAGTACACGCGTCTACGATTAATTATAAAATGAAATTGATAAAACGGCTAGGAACCAATAATTAATTGTAATCAATTGCAAACATTTTAAAAATAGCTATCGAGTATCAATATATTGAAGGTGCGATTGCAACATTTATCGCCGCGGCGAATACCATTGTGATCAGCTTGCCTGCCGCGGTTGTTGCCAAGTGCATTTATTGCTAATTTATCACTTAAAGTGTAAACACTTGCTAAAAATCTTATTAGCCAGCCATGTCTGACGTGTTCATTGTGTCTGCGGCGCGAACGCCCATTGGTAAACATTGCGCAGTTTCCGAAAAGCTGATGTAATCCCCAAATATTTGTGTGCCCAAACTAAAACTTTCTCTTTTTGGCATATTTAGGCAGCTTCAATGGAACACTTTCTAAACTGAAGGCATCCGATCTGGGCAGCGTGGTCATACAGGAGGTGCTGAAGCGTGCTAATGTCGAGGCGCCGCAAGTCAACGAAGTTATCATGGGCCAGGTACAAACACAAACTTCCCAATTGTTGCTTATCAGCGAGACAATTGTTTAAATTGCTTTTTATCGCATAAAATTTGCTTAAATTTGTTATGTAAATGGCCAGAACTCAATTTTGCTCGTTAACAGGCACTGACAGCAGGCCAAGGTCAGAATCCCGCACGCCAGGCCGCACTCAAAGCTGGCCTGCCCATTGAGGTGCCCGCCTATGGCATCAATATGCTCTGTGGCTCGGGTCTGAAGTGGGTATATCAGCACGTAGCTTGACTTAGATGCACTTACAACATCTGACTGCATTTTCCAGAACCGTGGCATTGGGCTACCAGGCGATACGCACGGGCGATGCACAGATCGTTATTGCTGGCGGCCAGGAGAGCATGTCCCTGGCGCCGCACGTCATGCATCTGCGCCAGGGCGTTAAAATGGGCGCTGGCACGCTGCTGGATTCCATGCTCAACGATGGCCTGACCGATGCCATGGAACAGATACACATGGGCATCACAGCTGAGAATCTGGCGGAGAAGTATCAAATAAGTCGCGAGGCCCAGGACGCATATGCAGTGCAGTCGCAGCAGCGCGCCGAACTGGCACAGCAGCAGGGCTGTTTTGACGCTGAGATTGTGCCCGTCGAGATCAAGGATCGCAAGGGTACGCAGCTATTTAGCAAAGATGAGTACATCAAGAGTGGCAGCAATGTGGAGGGCTTGCAAAAGTTGCGTGCCGCCTTCAAGGAGGGCGGCACCATCACACCTGGCAATGCATCCGGCGTTAACGATTCGGCTGCAGCGCTGCTGCTCATGTCCGGCGAGGAGCTTAAGAAGCGCGGTCTCAAACCACTAGCCAAAATTGTCGGCTGGTCACAGACCGGCATTGAGCCCAAAGTCATGGGCCTGGGTCCAGTAACCGCTGTGGAAGCACTGGTAAGCATTTGCTCTTTAGCTGTTCCTCCTGCCCACTATAATCTGTGCACTTGCAGCTGACCAAAATCGGTTGGAGCCGCGATGAAGTGGATCTTTACGAGCTGAACGAAGCGTTTGCCGCTCAGTCGCTCGCCGTGCTGCAGTGCCTTCAGCTGGATGCCAGCAAAGTGAATGTGCATGGCGGCGCCATTGCACTGGGCCATCCCATTGGCGCCTCGGGCGCACGTGTCCTGGTCACACTGCTGTACGCCCTGGAGCGTACCAACGGTCGTCGCGGCATCGCCTCGCTATGCATTGGCGGCGGCATGGGCATTGCTTTGGCCGTCGAGCGCATCATCTAAATTAGTCAATAGAGTCAATCGGCTCGACCCAATTACAAGCTATTTCCGTTGAGCTATTTCCGTTATTACCCTTGCTGTATAGTCACAATATGTATTGTTATATTATTTCCTTTGGTATTATGCTTGGTCACAAATGTTATTGTAGTCTAAAACTTATTTAAACTGTGTATTTGATGGTATTGATGTTTATAAATGTTAAATACTAAATTGCATGGCGACAGCTTTAATGCTGCCCGATTTCGATGGGTATATGTGGAGCGAAAACTGTGTCTCACTTTTATTGAATTTCCCATTGAAAACAGAACAGCATTAAAGATATTTTTAAATACTATGTTGTCCGTAAAAGCACTTTCTTTACGACCAAATGTATCTCTTAGACAAGAACTCAGCTGAAAATCAATCGTTCCTAGATATGATATAGTAGTCCAGTCTCTATAACTTACCTGCCAGCATCGAGCTAGAACTATAAAAACTCGGCTTCCCACCCAAAAAAAAAAGATTATTTAGAAACTTGAGATTTCTTTATTTATATAATTTATAATGATTTTAATTGTCAACTTTAGATAAATTTCCTTAAAACACTTAGCTCAAAAAATATTTGATTATAAGGAAAACATCGACTTATTTATATAATGTATATAAATACATTTGGATTATTGAAATCAGAGAAAATACTATTAAAAAGTTGAAGCTAGAAAAAGTTTATTAAAATAGTATGCATTGACCTATTTGTCTCGATCGGGCTTAAAAATGTATATATATATCGATATATGTAACCCTTCCCTGACTCTATTAAAATTATTTAATTCTCCGAACGCTGCTTAAGATTAAAGATTTGTACGTTTATAAATGTTGTAGACAGATCGTTGCTTATAGTTAGAATTAGTATGCGAACATTTAAATACTCTACAAAATACTCACGACGTTGACAAAGTAAAGGCTAGCCTGTGTTAATAGTGTATGGAATATTGTTTGTTATCTAACTGAATGTAAATCTCTGCGACTTTGTCTATTGCTTTAATTTATTTCGAGTATAATTTTTATCTCTACAATTTGATTGCAGTTCAATTTTGGTTGCAGCCGGCGACACATCCATTTAAAGATTGTGTTTCGAGTACTTTTCTTTCAAGTGGGAGGGTCTTATCAGACGCCGCCGCCGTGCCAGCAGGTCGTGAGGTTGCTGCACTCGAGCTGTTTGGGCAGCGTCGGATAGAAGCCATTGACATTGTTGCATACGAGACGTTCGGTGGGCGCCGTTTGGGCCATCTGCTCCATGGAGGACACACAGATTTGTGCATAATTGGCTATGAAGCCGGACCATAGCGTGGGCGTGTTGCCACTGATGAAATACGAGTCCCAGAACTTTGAGGCCAGCACCGCCCGATAGGGATAGTCCTTTTGCTCCATCAGAAACAGCTCCTCGGCAATGGCCACTGTGTCAAAGTCGCGATGCTTGACTGGCGTATAGATATCCTGTATAATGTTGTCACCAAAATAGAGCGCACGTGCTGCGCTAATGTCTTTGTTCAACCGCTTGGCCATCGACTGATGCAGCTGATGCCAGTTGCCCTGCGAGTAGACATCGCCTGGTTTGAGCTCCGCCTGCAGACTCAACTCTGTGGCGGGCAGCTCACACTTGGCCACGTCATCCACACGCATGAAGGGGCGCTGCATTGTAAAGAAGCCCGGCTTCTTGGCATAGGTCACTATGTAGTCAAACTGCTGCTGCCAATCCGGACCCAGTGCCTGTGTGGCCGTCAGATCGGCAAAGTCTATGTTAGAGCCGGTCAGCAGAAACACCTTTTTACCCGTGGCGCGCAATTGCTGGAGCCAGGTGCGCAGCTTTGAGCTGCTGGGCAGCACATAGCGCTGCGGCTCAGCACGCATGGCCTTGAAGTAGAGACTCTGATCGTTTTTGAAGTTGTCGCGGCTGTAGTTGTGCATTAGGCCGTCGAGCAGATCCCGCCAGACGTTGTACTCCTTGGGCCTGCCATTTGGACCGCTGTCCTTGTCCACAATATCCACGGCTTGGGCAAAAACAAGCGCGCTGGGCATGTCAAAGTAATCGAGGAGCGTGCGCATCTGCGTAGCGGCTGGGCCGTTCCACGTGGAAAGTGGATCATTGTAGAAGGCCGTGGCTACGTCCCACCGTCGAGCGGCACCGTAGGCAGCTACAATCTCGTCATCGCTCAGGAGACGTGTGCCATGCGAGGCACGCAAAATGACAGCCTCATTGCTCAGCTTCAACACATTGCCTCGTGGTCCATCCAGCATGAGGCCCTTCTGTAGAAAATCCATATCCAACTTCTTGGTCAGCAGCGCCGGCGAGTAGCCTTTCTTCTCCACCAAATACACTTTGAGCACATTATAGATGAGCGGCGTCATCTCCTGCAGATTGTAGCGCAAAAGCGTGCCATCCAGATCGAACCCAATGATATCATAGTCCATCAGATCCAGCTCCTTGCAGTATGAGTTCATGATTGTACTGGCCGAGTATCTTGAATACAGCGCAGCACTGACAGCTCGTCCGTTCGCGTTTATGTTTGGGTGCGTGTGCGTGTGTGTGTGCCTGCACAGCTGTTTGTTGTTGTCAGCCTCACGTGTTGACTTTTGCGCCAATTGTGCTATACTAACACAGCTCTTACGTAATCGGCACAGAACATCTGTTTGGCTTTGTTTGGTTACTTTTAGTTGGAGTCTACTTACTGATGCTGCTGCTGCGGCTGTTGCTGTGGCACGCACATTGGGCGCTAGTTGCCGTACGCCCACTCGCCAAATGGCACTTTGCATTTTGGCTCTAATACATTATCGCCTTAAAATTTAACTAAATTTTTTGTTATTTTCCTACATAATTTAGTCCATAAACAATGCCACCTCAAACCAATCGATGGCATATTTCAGATACGAGTAAAATTATTCGATATTTAATTTTGCTATATATCGCATGCTAT